TGGAAGGTCGCCTGCGAGCTGTAGATTTTTTTATTATTTTTTTTTCAGTTTTTAAGTGAAAGGCAGTTTGAAGATATTTGGAATCTTAATCTACATATTGTATTTTTCTCTAAGAAGTAAAAGCGTTTGGGTACTTCACATCGTACACTTAAACACTGCCAACTTCCCCCCCCGCCAAACCTTCATAATGACGTTTGTTCCCCTTTGAAATGTGGATTGTTTTGCACGGAAGCACCATTAAAGACCGTTTTTAGAATACAGCCTCTCTGTGATCAGCACTGCTATTCGAGGAAATTGGAATTGAGGGAAGCGTATTGCCTTGTATAACAATATACAGTGGCACCATCAGCATCAATATTTACACTGTAACATACAAACCCAAATTTAAAATACACACTCTTAAAGACCTTCATATTAAGCAACTTCTCACAAATGTAGAAAACTTGGGGTGTGAAAGAGCATCTGGACCAACCGTAAATACAGCATTATAATTAAACACAATTGTCCTTGTTGTTAATGTAGAAATCTTAACCATTATCAGATTACCTCATATTTCAGATTCCTTTCTCTTTCTCTCATTTTGCAGCGATGGACTGAAGCTTGAAACTGAAATCCTGGATGGAAAGCCTAGGCTAATTTTAGCTGCTTCTGGTATTTTTTTAATCATTTATCTCAAGTAATCTTTAAAGCTTCTTGAAGTTAAACCTAAGATCCAAGCAACATGAAGCACAGCATTAATGAAATACATTTCAGATTAGGAAGAATATCAGTACATTGTTACTTACAAGTCCTCTTACTCAGCAGCTTGATATGGAACAGTGGGTTGATAATGAATCTCTGAATAGTCTGTCCACTGGTGAACAGCTGGCAAATAGTCTTGTCTTAATTCTAACTTGTCTCTCCATTCCTGTAAAAAAAAAAGTTAAGTACCATTATATGTTGACTGGCATAACTTGATAATTTTCGCAACTTTATAGCACCTTCATTACAAAGGAAAAAGAGGTCGAATAACTCTGCTTAATTTACAGATAATTACATCATTGTAGTCATATTTCTGACTTTAAAGCAACTTTAATATTTGGCAGTTGACATTTGTGATTTTTCAGTAAGCAGTTTATTTAGGCCAGATCTCATTACTACCATCTGAGATAGACTGTTCCAGTAGATACTCATAATTAAGCATTAATAAATTCTCATTTTGTGATTTGTCAGATGTATGTTTCCATACAAGCACAAGTCCACTTTCCCTAAGCGTTCTACATAGTATTCAGGGTACAGAAATTTTCCATTTAATGCCCTCTAAATTACATTTAATTTTCTGCATTTATCAGACAGTTGTCTAGTGAGGTGTTACAGGGTATTTTGAGTCAGTAAGGAACATCAGGAAACAAAACCTTGCAAAACCTCTGAAATGGCAGTGCTGCAGCTTCAACGTTTTACACCCATAGTTAGCATCATTGGCTGGATAGGGCCAGTGTACTTCCAGAGTGCTCTGAAATAAATCATTACCTTTGACTTGGAACTAGCCTTGAACACAGCCTTCTCCAGGAATTAACATGTTTATACATCTGATATAAACAGCACTTCCTTGAATTGAATTGTGGTTTAAAATGTTCATCTAGGTTGGCAACTACTAATAGGGTGGTTTTGCAGAACAGTTACTGTTCTCTAGAGTCTTTAATTGGTAATAGACAAAAAAGGTATAGGTGTCACCCGTGCAAAACGTGCAGCCACCACCGCCAGAGCAGCAGGTGCACAGTGCAACAGAAGAAGCCTTGTTTCTGAGAGATGTGTTCCACTAAAATATCATCGCTACCATTTTCTCCCCCTTTTCCATTAGCCAAATGTGAAGAATTTATTGTGTTGTGTATCATATTACTTCTATTAATACAAGACTTTATTAATAACTATTATATTAACATATATTTTACTTAATATTATTTTTGAGATCGCTGTGCCTCTAAGCATCCTCTAGGATTTGGGTGAAAAGACTGAAGAGTATTTTGGGGCATAGGTAATGAGAACAATAATGGTGTGATTATGCAGGGGAGGATCAGACTGGCACAATATTTTTATTACAGCTCTATAAAACTGGAAATGGTTACTAGAATATATCTTTTTTTTCCCAACACACTTTTGAACTATGTATGCTGAAATAAAAAAACCTCACAGCAATAAAATAATGTAATTGGGGCAGATGTCATGGGGAAGCTACTTTCCCTCTGCCTTACAAAAATTGGATGAATTTAAGAGTTTACTGATTTCTCAAGATTGTTTTTCAGGAGGAAGTTGTTACTAAGTATTTCTCTCATATGTTTATGTTTGTTTCCCAAAAGATAAATCAAAGCCTGCAATGAAGGTAAGTGTTAAAAATTACTTTTTTTAGAGTATACAAATTAAGTAGTGATTTTTTTAATACAGAAAGTTGAGAATACATTTGAACTGTCTAAACATCTGTAATCGGTGGTATTTATGAAAAATATGTACTTGGGGGTCCCTTCCAACTTGAGATAGTCTATGATTCCTCAAGTTCATAACAGATGTTTAAAAGGATGAACTAAAAGTTTTATGACTAGTTCTACCTTTGCAAAATCCTTTAGTTTACTTTGGCAAGTAGTTACAGCAGCACAGGGAATGGTCTAAAACAGAACTTTCAGAGACCTTAAAGAGATTCTCTTAGAATAGAGAACTGAAGTGTGGTAATGTTCCGAGTTGTACAGGTGGCCTGTGAGTAAAGTGGAATGCACTGGCTTGGGGAAGGAAAGCAAACAGAAAAACACCTCAGTACATAGGGGATAATTACAAGCGTACATAAGCACCTTGAAAAGGATAAAACTTTACTACAGAGTGGAAACATCAAGACTGAAATAATATTGGTTATATGGTAAAAACATACCTGTTTGAAACAAGGCTTCAGAAACACCAAAGAAAAGCAGAATTAATGTTTATTAATTCTTTTAAATGTTATGCTACATAAACTTATTTTTCATATTGTTGCTTTTCAATATTCAAATTTAGGTGCTGTATTCTTCTCCAAAGTATTCCTAGTACTCATGGAGATATTTCATTAGTTTATACTGAGTTAGTTTCTAGTTTATACTAGTTAGTTTCTATCGATGTAACAGAGAAGAAAAATGACACTTATTTTACTTATTCCTTCAATCTTTTTTTTTGTTTGTTACCCATGCAGTTTTATTTCCTTATTTAACATATGATGAAATGTTACTGCTTTAACAGATTAGTAATAAAGCCAGATCACCTAAACAGGCATTGAGAATAAGGCATACAGGACACGTTACAAGGTCCACACAAAATGCTTGTATCAAGCAGGAAAACTTCACAAAATTAAGGAGTGAATCAAGCTTGTCAATAACAGCAGGTGAAAAACTGCAAGTTGCTAAACACTCCTCACATGAAGCCACAACTAAAGATCACTCCTGGATTATCCAAAGAGAGAGCACAAACAGATATCCTGATTCAGAGAATACGAACACTGTTAAAAAAACTAAACAGAAACCTCAAAAGCCATGTGTATCAGCTAAAGACCTGAGAAGTTTGGTGTGTCTAACACAAGAACAGCTTCAACAGATTTTGATGACTGTAAAAGAAGGAACCAGAAGCATCTCTGAGCTTCATAATGAAAAGCAAGAGGAAACGGGTAAGATACCAGTAGCTGAATGTTAGTTTCACAGAAACAGCAAAACATGAAAGTTTATCTTTGAGTTCATAATTAAAGTTTATTTGCAGGCTGCAGAGATTGGTCTTGCACAAAATACAGTTTACAATTATGGATGTGAAATTGCCTGTTGCTGTTAGAAACAAGCATTTGATAATTTTAACACTAAAAACTAAGGATTGCTTAACAGTATTCCAGTACTTTGAGAAGCAAAACAGCAAGCAATTCTGTCAATATTTCATGCAAAAAATTATCCATTTTACATTGGAGAAAAACCATCAAAAGTGTTACAAGTTTGAAAAAACACAACCCAGCACCTCTAAGAGACAGACCCGTCTGGTTTTGTGAATACTTTGGGTTTTGCTCTATGTCTCGAGAGCAGTAGTGCCATTTTCCTCTCGCCCAAAGATATAAATGTATCTTGCATAACTCCTATTACTGTTGAATAGTTATGTGGTGGGTTTTTTCAGTTCTTCCAGGGACCATAAGAACTATTGCACATTGTCCTCTTTTACACTCTTACTCCTGTTTGTGGACCTCAGAGGATGGTCACCTCTGCTACCAAGAGTAAGAGATAAGTCCCAAAGTCTGAGCTCTTAGCCAATAGCATCTGAGCCCAGCATTCTAGAAACCTACTGTGAAGTCATAACTTACATGCCTTAACTGTACAAGCAGGGCTGAAAACAGTCTTGTTAAACAGTGGGGAATTTGCAAGTTTCTGCTGTTCTCAAAGTATTTACTCAATGCTGAAGAAAGGTTATTGGTCATATATATATATTTATATATAATTTTATATATTTACATTTTACCACAGCTACTAATGAGACATCAGAGGAAAACATTACAGCGTTGTTCCAAAAACCTGGTGAAGTTTCACCTGTTCCAGCTGAAGCTAATTCTGATTCAAGAAGGAAACAAGAAGCAGATTTACAGCCAGAACAGAAAGTTATGTGCGTAGATCTGTTATTGTCTACAAATATTGTATGTGCCATAAAGATTTGTATTGTAGTTCCAAATCCCAGTAAGATTCTTTACAAACACAAATTTAAGAGTTACCTTAAAAATTATCAGATTAGCTTTTTAGGTAATGTTTTTTTCCCCTTCCTTTTCTCTAGGAAGGATTTGTGGAAACCTGCTGACATGTTTAGTACCTTGGGTGAAAGAGAAGGGGAGAAAGCCTTATTGGAATTTAAAAAGACCCAATGGAAGAAGGAATTAGGTACTTATGATACACAAAATATATTTTTGATGCCTTTATTACACTTAGGATGCCAAGCAAATTTGTGTTCCTTATGCTCTTTTATATTTACTTGCATCAGTGCAGTTGCTACAAATTAGACAGTACATAGTTTTATTAGTCTCCAAGACAGATCAAGATTCTTGAATTTCAGAATTTTGTGGAAAGATTATCTATAAATCCTTGCAAAAATGCTTCTTAACCAAATAAATATTATCACAAATATATTCAGTTATGCTTCATATTTTAGGAGTAACTTGCTACTGATTTTGTCACATTCTGCCAGTAGTTGATAGCCATTATCATTAACAAATTCATTTGGCTTTTAGTATAGGTATCATCCTAATCTACAAGCACGACCGAGTGTATCAGTTTGCAATTTGAACTTGAAACAGTTTGCAGTCCTGCCCCATCAGCAACCAAAGGGAATCTCTGTAATAAAAATACAAATGTTTAACACAGTTGTGTTAAATTTCTGTCTGCAAAATTAAGCTCTTTATGATTCACGTGCAGGAGCGTTGTGTTTTGTTTTCAAGTTGAGTGTAGACTCTAGTTTGAGTCTACATTGCCAGTAGCTTCCGTGTGTAGCTCCATTGGGTTTAATATTATTCCAGTAATCCAAATGGAGATAATTTACATACTTTGTTATTTTTCCCCTCTTTTCCTGGGACACTGTTAAGCCTTTGTAGTCTTCACAGAGAGATTCCCCAATTACCTCTACATCTCTGGGGACAGACTCAGCCATGATCCTCTTAAAAGCAAAGTCATGACTGATTGTTCACAGGCAGCGGTGACTTACTCTTGCAACCAGAATTGCAGGATAGACATTCATGGCTGGTTTGGGGATTTTTTTGCTTGTTTGGTTTGGTTTTATGTTGTTATTTGGTTTATTTTGTTGGGGGTTTGTGTGTGTTTGTTTTTTTTTTTAAACATTGCTGCACATCTGTATTAGGAACTCTTACTAGAGTTTGTTTTTTCAAAGATGAACAGGTAGCACTGAAGAAGAAACTGAAAGAAACTTTAGAGGGAGAGGTGGGTTATTTCTGGGCAAAACCTGGCAATAATCAAATCCGTAAAGAGAAAGTGGAAACAGCTGAGCCAGATAAGGTAAGGCTAACAAAAGAACACACAGTTTCCACAGCTGTGTTCCAAAACAGTTGAACTTTTAATTCATACAAGAATCTTTTCTGTACAAATCCGGTAAAATCCAATCTCAGTGGTCCCTTCAAATTATTTCATGGCATAAATTACTGCAATTTCCTGTTTCAAACTTATCTGTTACTCCAATGTGTAGCTTCAAAAAATTAAAATCTTTGTAGCATGAACAACCCATTCCTGCCCTTCCATGTTGATTCCTAACTAAAAATACATAGATCTTTTCTGTTTCTGACAAGTAGTCCAAAATGCAGTTCCTGGTTATATAATAATTTACATTGTTCATGAGCTTTCACATGTATTTAATTGATTATATAGTCATGAGTATAGCAATTTGACTGCTACTCAAACCCACCTTTTTAAAAGTCAGCTGTTCCTCTGAAAATGCTGTGTCACACGTATACTGTATTCAGATGAGGCTTCTCCAATGAAATTGAATGCTGTTAATAAAAGTTAGGGTTATACCTGCTATCACTTATTACAGCAAAAACATAGTCCTTCTTTTGGTGACATATTAAGCTTTCCTAGAAAAGTTACTCTCAGCTCCAAAAAATTTTGTTGCAATCTACATGGTTAAAAGATACGGGATATGAGAAGTTTAAAGTTTTGGCTGAAGTTCTAATGAATAGCAGCTTCTAGAACTATCATTTACTTGCTTATTATATGTTAAAAGCTATTTAATAGCAACAAAACAGGTGAGCTAACTGAATTGAGTGTTAAAGCAGTAACTTGAGTTGCAGACCATGGTTCCAGCCAGCTCAGTTATAACCTCAGAGGAAAACTGTGTCTGCACAACTGCTTTAACCACAGAGGCTAATCAAGTTCCACTGAATGAAGTGCTCCAGCTGGGCAGTCTTGTGATTTTGATTCTTCTGACTCCCCAGCTGTCAGTTCCACAGTCTTTGGTTTAGGGGTAAGCTTTAAAATTGCATGTATTTTTTAAACTTATTTATTGACAAAAGATGTATATCTTCAATATTTCTTTTAAACCAGAAGAATTCAGTAGACCCTTTTGCTCTATCTAAAGAATTGTGTCTAAACATTTAAATAGTGATTCCTTAATGACTGAGCATTTTCAAGGCTGATGTGAAGAACAGTACTAGAGGTGTGAGGTGAAGTGTTGATTAATTTTAAGTATACAAGGGCCAAGAAGTAATTTTTGAGTTACTGCTGGTAGGCACTGATTGAAGAGTGGTTTTTGTCACATAGTACTGAAAGTTCTCAGTGCCACTGGAGTTTGTTAAATGACGGAGATACCCATTAAGAAGCAGAAAGAGAAGAAAGAAAATGGTATCTAGAATTTACTTGAAAGAGATCACTATTAATTAGATCATGGTGCTGAATCTAGCTGGAACACAGACAGTGAACCATAAGAGGAAGGATTTTTATTCATGATAAGTAAGGTTGGAGTGAAAGACTGATGGTTCAAATTAGAATAATATTCAAAGGCTGATTTATTTAGCATCTTTGTAATAACTGAAGCATTTTGATGGAGCAATCAAACATTTGCTAGTTAAAACTTAACTTCCATTTATTTTGTGCAAGAGAACACCCCAGTTATGCCTAGCAACCAAGGGCAAAGTTTTCTGCCAAGTCTTTATTGTGTGACTAGATGAGGTACTAAATTTTTTGTACAAGGAAGAGGCTAACACTTTTCTTCTTTCAGGAAGCTGTGCCACAGGAACAGTCTTCTAGTGCTTTGAAACGTGAGCAACAGAAGAAGTGGCTTGAAGAGTTGGGCAAACAAAAGGAAGAAGCTAAGCTACGAAAAATAGAAGAAAAACTTTATTTATCAAAGGTACCTATGATTTAGAGGGACTTTTCAGAATAAGAGTTTTTCTCTACATGTTTGTTCTAAGAAATAAAAGATGAAATCATAGACCTAATGTCGTAGTGACAGAGATGTAATTTCCTGCAGCATGTCCAGATTTTTCACCATAAGTCCATAGGACAGTAATTGAACGTTCTGCCCGTAACTGTTCCAGTATTTCAGTGGCAAAGAACAGCGACACAACACACCATGTGTTTGGTGTGATGTGTTAGAGTGCTTGCTGCAAAGATGAAGACAGTAATATTATTATACTTTTTTTTTCTTTCCCACCATTGTGCAAAAGCACTAGTGTTTGGAAGGTGGTGTAGAGACACAGACTAGACACTTTGTAAAAGGAATTTTCCATAGACTACAGAAGGAGATGGAAAGAGAGAAAGAATTTATAGAGAGCTACAGTGTGTCACAGTGGTGTTCAAACCCTCTTTCTAGAAGTATTTTAATACACTTTTATGAAACATCTTTAAACGCTTCTCCAAAAAGCATTGAAAAAAATAGCCTTACCTTTTTTACCCTTTGGTTTTTCCAGGCTGTTCAATGTAGGTCTCTTAGGCTGGATGTAGAAGGAAACGGGCCAGTATAATTGCTTTGCAGGTGGAATACCTGAAGAGACACTTAATGATGTCACTATTGGCCAAGCTGGTTAATATATCTTTTGCCCCTGGAGGTTCTTCATATTAGAAGCTGACTTCTTTTCTTTACATATTACTGTTTCTACCAGTAGTAATTTTAAGGTCAGTGGAATACTCTGCATTCTTTTATAGCCCAATACTAACACACTCTTCCAAAGGCCTGTTGTCTTTTGAAGGGAAGAAACATGCAGTGAGATCGTACTATCGCTAGAATGCAGATTTCCACATTACTGTACATAGCTTTACACCCAGGATTATAGCTTTCATGCAGGGAACGTAGTCACATCACAAGACATTCTGTATTATGGGTGAACAAGAATATTGGTTACTAAAACTTGATTGATATGAATGTTCATGGTCTCTCACCTTCTGGATTAAAAGGCTACGCTTTTTACTCTGAACTGAAGCATTTATGGCAATTGCACAGTTCCTAGACAAAAGTTCTTCCTTTTAGTTCTACAGTTTGTAATACAAGAAGAGCACTTTCCTCCCCACCCTCCAAAAAAACTCTTACTGCTAAAGTTGGTTACATACCTACGCATGACACAAGTCTCTTCATTTCCTGAGTTGTTGAAGGGAGCAGACTTCCTTCGTCAATTGAGCTTTGTAACCGTGAAGGGAACACAGCTGTGAAAGGTTCCTTCATTAGCTGCCTTGTTTTTTAATTTGATAGGTGTGCTCAAGGTCGATAGTTGCAGTCACCAGTGAGGAACCTAACAGTAATCTCACTTCCAGCCTCTTTTTGAGAAGAAATGAATGTGCACTTAAGCTTGTTTTCTTCAATATTGTTTTTTCAAGTCTTGTGTTATGCTCTCAACCCTTCTGCATATTGCACATAGTCTTGCATAAAAATAAAGTAGATTTTCCAATTCCTTCAATTTGCTTCTACATCACAGAGTATTCAAAGGGAACAAAACTCAGGGAAAAGGTGGAAGAATAGTTTGGATTCTTATTATTTGGACTTTGACTTTCTTGCTTCTTTTAAAATCGGCATGCTTTTCTGACACAAGGGAATTTTTATTTAAGAAAAGGACTCCCAAAAAGTTTATTAGATTTCGTTAGGTTTCTTACTACAGAATGCAAGTTTTGAGACAGCCATTCTCCCATCCCTCGAGGGAAACATGTTTTTTTAAGTCAGAAGATAAAACCTTCCCAAGACCTATAGCAAAACCAAAGGCCTCTTAGATAAAAATCTTATTAGTGATACATTGGAATGTCCCAACTGCCAATACTGAGCCAAAAAGATCAGCATAAACTCAGTGTGTCACACGTAGAAATGTTTCGGGTACTTTGCTGGGATACCAGTGGTGGCTGCTGTGGGTGGAAGGGATTCTGAAAGGAGACTTCTTTTATAATAGGCCCACTTAGCTGAAAATAGAAAATTAGAGATTAATATCTCTGCCCAAAGCACATTAACTCTGCTACTGTCCAGAATTAAAATGGAGAGGGTAAATGTAGGATAGTGTAAAAGATGCCATTTGTTCATGTTACTAGAGAGAATGTGCACAACAAGAGGAGGATGTGACAGAGTGCACAGGGTACTGATGTCTCAATCAAGCAGCTCCCAGTACTGTTAGAAAAATTAAGGAATGGAATAGTAATATAAAAAAAACAGTACTAAAAGGCCTGAATCCATGTTAATTTCTTTCTTTTTCAAACAGATTTTTTCACTTTCTAGTTTTTGGGATATTTTTTTTCTGAAAATGTAATAACAATATGTTCTTCTTGACCGAGTATATGGATCAGCAGTTAATTTCTGATCTGACTTGCATTTTAAACTGCAGAGACACGTCTGTTTTCCCATGCAGTGAATTAACTACTGTCTGTATTGTAGCTCTGTAACAGAGCTTTTCAAATGTTCCCGTTGCACAAAATGTGTATTGTCTGTCTTCTTAACTGTACTTTATAAAAACAGTGTAATTGAGCGTGTTTCCATTTTTTTGTCATTGCCTCATATTTATTTAGGCTGAAGAGCATGAAAGATGGGCAATGCATTTTGATTCTTTAAAGAACCACCTTAACACTAATGCACAACAGCCCTTAAATGGAATGTACCAAAACAAGCCTGAAAGTCTTTGCGTGTCACCTGAACCTAAGGAGCTGACTGCTTTTATTCACCCTTTTTCACCTGCAGCTTTAGGCGACTGCATGCCCTTAAAGGCAGAAAATGCAGAAAAAGCTGCTAAAAACAGTACATTGGAGCCCAGTCAGAATGTCAGGTGAGTGACCTTTGTAAGACCAATCATCTTCCCAGCCGGTACAGTTATGATACCTCCTCAGAAATTGTCAAAAAAATCTGAATGACATTCTGTAAATCTTGTCTTTGGATCTTAGTCATTTTGCTTTTACTTTTTTCAGAAATACCTGTCTTATGTTTGAAAGACTCAAGTGCTTCCATTTCTCATTAATAAAATTTACTGTAAAGAGCCTTACTTTGTTCCTTAGTAAAATGAATTTCATAGTTGTAAATTAATACAGTGGGATAACCTCAATATGAAAATATTAGTTGAAATCCGATTTAATTAATTAAAGACATTTAACTAATTAAGGACGGCTTTAGGATTATGTTGTAATGATTAAAAACATGTTTCTTTATTCATAGTTTCCTTCGTTCTATGACAGCTCTCCTGGACCCTGCACAGATTGAAGAGAGAGGTAGGCGGCGGCAGAAGCAGTTAGAACATCAGGTAGACTTTTGTTTTCAAGTCTAACACTGTTTTAATGACAAGGAAGGATGAAAGGTAGAATTGTCTCATGAATAAAGCATGACATTTAATACCAGAATCCAGTGAGGCACTTGACTTTTATGCTTCAGGTTACATGTTTACGATTCTTTAACAGAATTTCATTCAGATAGGCTCTAGAGTATTCTTTTAGTATTTGTACAGAGATGACTGCATTTCTGTAACTGAATTCCTGCCTTGAAAAATTACAGTCTTTAGAGCTCTAGTAGGTTTGTGTGCATTTTTCTTCACGTTCCACACTCATCAGGAGGACTGATATTTACAGATACCCACTCCATGAATTTTAAAATTTTTATCTACTGTCATTTACGGTCCTTCAGTGGCATTCTAACAGGATGTGTATCTGCGTGACTCTGGCGTCATGCATTCTTCATAAGGAAAGCCGTAGTATAAATGTAAGGAGCCTGTTCTGGTCAAACTGTTATACTGCTAGTTCCAGACCACCATTTCTTTAAAAGAAAAATAAAAGCATTTTTAAAAACATAAAAAAACTACTTCTGTTTTTGTCTTGAGTATTTCAAACTGCTTTACTGGGCTTCTGGTTTCCGCCCCTCCCCAGAAGAGGCAACTACCTTTCTTGCGAGAAATGAAAAGAAACAAAAGTGTTTCAAATCAATTGTCTGGATTCTTTTTTAAATTATTCCAAATCTGATTTTTATACACATAAATGGAAGTATATGAATAAATAGCTTACACTGTGTTAATGTTACATCTTTTAATTTTCTTTTTTTTTTGTCATACTACTAGAAAGCCATAATGGCTCAGGTAGAAGAAAAACGAAAAAAGAAGCAGCTGGAGGAGGAGCAGAGAAAATGGGAAGAACAAGAGGAAGAAAGGCGCCTAGCACGAGAAAAAGAACAAATGCAGAAACAGTTTGAAGAAGATCTGCTGAGACAAAAACAAAAGGAGGTGGGGTTTTGCATTTTCTTTAGTGCAGATAGTCTGTAATAACACAGGGTTTTGAGGTAAATGGTTCTTGTTCTTCACCTTCAAAATTGTTTCACCCCATCATTTTGAAAATGAAAAAGTACCTGAAATTTAGACATTTGAAACCAAAATCTGTTTCCTCTAAATAAACTTATCACACCGTACAAGTTTAAGGCAAGTTTATTTTTTGGGATAAATGGTTTCTCAGGAAGAGAAATGATAAGAACTGGCAAAAATAGAATAAAAACTAACACAGAAACATATATTTTTAAATGCAGATTTAAAATAAAAATATACGTTATGTGACCTCATTATTGCTGTTAGTAAATTGATGCTTTTAAGATGCTTCATACTATAAAGTTTAGCTAACTGGATGTGCTTTCACTCTGGATTAAAGACTTTGCAGAATATATTCTGGAAAAGTAATTTTAAAATAAGTCAGTCACATCCTAGAGCTTCTCTATATCTATTGCTGAGCTTTACCTAGACGTTTCATACAAAAACCAAAAGTACATTTTGACCTTTGGTAAGTACAAATCTTGCATTTGTATACATTCTTATCTCTGGAGAAGGTTAAAAGCCTTGTCTCATGTTTTAGTCTTCCTTGTGGCACAGTAGCAGCTATTAGCTTTGCTTCCTATTTGGAACAGTAGCAGAATTCCATCAGGTCATAAGACAGGACGATTCCAAAAACACACCCTTCTCTAAAACCTGCAGAAATGTGGCTCACCAATTTCTCTGCATTTTCTGGATGGAAACATCTGCCTGTAGATGCTAGAACAAACGGGTGAAAAATTGGGAAAGTCCTCCTTGTAATAACTCCGCTCCTTCAAAACATGTTATGTTATGCTGCCAGTTTTTCTTCTTTTGCAGCAGGAAATGAGGCTAAGATGGAAATAGCAGTTTGGAAAGGAGATTTTCCTTGGCCCAGTCTTGGACCTGCTGAGTCTGGAAATTGTAACCCTCATATTTAGGAATGTTCGGCCTTTCTTGGGGAGGCTTCTACTCTCTCCTTTTGGTGGAAGTAGCAGGAAGGTGTTTTTTTAACTTATCTTTTTTTTAATTATTTCATTAAACCACATGAGATAGGAAGTCATAGATGGCTGAAATCAGATGGCATTTAGAAAAAGATTATCAGAAAGGAGATAAATATGCAGATAACTTTGGGAATCTAGAAGTTCGCTTTTTAGTGCTAGGACTGAATGTCTTTCATTAGCAAAGCAGAGATTCTGAATTTATAATCATAAAAGTTTTAGATCACCTGTTGCATGTACTCAGCTAGTTTTGGTTTTTTTAAAAAAAAAAGCTTTACCGAAAATAAGAATTGAGTGTAAATCTGCAGAATTTAATAATCCTATTAATTTTTTTAAAAAATAAATGATTGCTTATTTTTTTAAAGGAACTTGTGACTCGTAGAACAAATGAGCTCTATGAGACAATGCAGAAAGCTCAGGAATTAGCACAAAAATTAAAACAAGAAAAGCGCATTCAAGACTTGGCTCAGAAGGCACATGACATTTCAAAGCTTCAGAAGAATCTTGGTGGTGGCAAGTACAAGTCTTTTCACATTCAGTTTGCCTATTCCTTTGGTGTTTGTGTGCAAGTTGTTTGTGGGGTTTGGTTTTTTTAACCTGTCTGCATTTGGGTCAGAAATTGCTCCTTCAGGAACAAAAATTTCATTTCAAGTTGTTTGCCTTCTCAACAAATAACAGTATTAACTAATATGAAGAATATTGTATTCTAGTAAGCTTCAAATACTACATTACATAAAGGAATAAATATAAAGATATTACCAGGAATGTACAGGGAATATTCAGACCTGTGTGCTGTTGATTAGATTTCCAGTGAAAATGGGGAAGTATTGAGATCTGAACCAGAGTTCTCAGTCCTGCTTAGAGTTCTAAACCACAGTAGTCTGATAACTTCATAGCATAGCTTAAACGGAACATATGTTACTAACTTGAACAATTTTATTTGCTCCTTTTTAGATGATAAAGAATTTGAAAATTGTGATACTGCAATTTCACATCAAAGTCATAATTTTTCTGACAACAGTAAGAGTCACACGGAGCAGCAGACTTCTCCTCGGAAGGACACTGCTGTACAGACAGGTACGTTTACAACCCTTACATTAACTACTCTTATGTACTTCAAGAAAGACAGTAGAACTGCATATCTGTGAAACTGAACCAAATTACTGTCATTCAGAATGGAACAAAACTAAAAAAGAAATACTTAGGCAGACACAGGCATGTTGGTATATTACAGTATATCACTATATTTTTCTAAATAAATGGTAATTCTATGTAGTTGTCACTTACCAGTCACAGATTCAAATCATGCGGTCTGACACACAGCGTTGACTTGGATCACAGTCACAAGCCACATAGGACTAAATGTATTACGCCACTCAAATATTTGTAGTAGTCTTCAGAGTGAATGTTCACAGGTTCATGCACCGTGGTTTGGTATCGAGCAGGGCTGGGCTCCTAACGAATCCCTGGAAATATTGGCAGATACATTGTCAATAATTCTGGAATTAGAAAACCAGACTCATTAGAAATTGAGAGCTTACATTGAAATGTTGAAAAAAGCTTTCTATAATTCTTGCTAAATCCCTAGACAGAATTGTGGGTCCATCTAGATAGATGAAATACTTTCCAGTCTTTATCTTGATTTCGTATCACCCCATTAAAAAATCCAGCTCAAACTTAGTCTGCATTTATTAATGTTGTAGATGAGATGCAAATGAGCAGAGTTGGTGGAAACTTACTTTTTGCCTTGTATTTCAAAATTTATTAACTTACCACATGTGAAGTGGAAGCTTTGTTTAATTTCTGTTTACTTAAACAACAATTATTTTTGATTTTGACAGTGCTGGTAGAGATTTTACTGTGAGTTTAGAGAGTTTACAAATTAAATAATGTTTCTGCCTATGCCCCTTAGTAAAGAAAAAAGCCAGATTGTCAGTAATTTAAAAATCGAACAAAATATTTCTATTGGAATATGAGAATTAGGAAAGTGAGTTATTCCCAGTAGTGCTGTGAATGTGACTAAACAATCAGCATGCTGAAAAACTAAAGAGAAGCTCAGTTTTGCTCTTTACCTTTGTGTACCATGACAGAAATAGAATGGTACTTTTAAAATAATGTAGTTTCATTTTTCATCGATCTTGCTTTGCAGTGACTTGATTTCATTCTCCAGTCTTATAATCCTTGCCGAGTTTGACTTCTACTGGTCCTAGCTATCTGCTACGTCAAAAAGAACAAAAATCATTGTAAAACTGTAACAACTAATTTTTTATTAAAATCGGTAATGGTAGATATGCATGGAAAAGTCAAACCATTTGAGTAGCTTATATTTCGAGTTAAAATACAGGAATTTATTTTTTTGTAGATTACTTTAATACTTCAGTATACACTGAGGAAAGAACTGCGTGTTGCGGATCACCCAATATTTCCATTGAGTATAAAGAAACCGTCAACAAAAAAAAATACCAGAAGGAAATGCAGTATATAGATAAAAATAAAATTTCAAGAAAAGAAACTGGTGGCATTTGCAGTGATCTATATGAACAATATGCCAAAAAAGAAAGACAAATTAAATCTTCACACAAATATGACAAAAGACCTGACTGGAACATAAACAAGCCTGAAAAAAGATACATTCCAGCATCAGAAAGATACCCTAAACCGCTACAGAAACAGAGGGAAGAAAACAAAGTAAGACGACAAATGGAGCTGCTGCAGTTGGTAGAAAGAAATACCCCTGGGAATCTCTGCCCTAAAAAGGGTGGTTATTCAGACAGGTCTCCTTCACCTCATGAAGGAATTAATCTGAAAAATAAGCGACATCGAGTCAGAAAGGTAACTGCTTGGTCTGCATGTTTTTCTCCGTGTTGTGTATTTTTTGCCTGGATGTTACTCAAGCACAGACGATTTTTCTATTCCCATCCTTTGTATAAAGAACAGTATCACAGCATTGCTTCCATCATCGTGATGAGAAGAACATATTCAGATTTTGTGACTTGGTGTTTCCTGTTATTTCAGTCTTACAAGGTCTTGATTCTCTTCATTATCACTGATTCTTTATGTAAACAAGGATCTTGAATGAAATCAGTGTGCAAGGATCTTGAATGAAATCAGTGTGATGAATGAAATCACTGATTTGCCTTTTTTTTGTCCAGTCATGGTGTTGTGATCATAGCTGAGGTACAGGAATACCTGTTCAAGGAAACAGTTTTTGTTTATGCAAAAAATACGGATTTCTGAGGCTCTGTTGTATTCTGTTGTCATAGAAATGCATCCTTAGTGGAGTCATTTCTTCTCCATTTGCAGTCAGCATGTAGCAGTTTCCCAGCTTGTGGCTGGGAAAAAAAAAACATTTTCATTTAAAGAAAATATTATCAAATCTGTTCATGCCTTCTCTCTCCACCCCATGTCTTGCTGGCTCTATGTACATGTGCCTATCTATAGGGGTGCATAAAGCCCCTCACTTTCTCACTCCTTCCAACAGAAAAAATATGGTGGTATTTGTTTACGATGGCTACATACACGTGTATTAGAAGCTTTGGGTATTAAAAAAAACAAAGTGTGAAACTCTGTAGCTGTTCACAGTATCTTTAAAGATTTCTTCATTTGTTAAACTGAGTTTGCTGGTTTATTTCAGGTTAATAGTAAATTTAAGTTTTGTCCTTACATGATTGAAGTGTAGACATTCAAGCGTTTTGTACCTGAGAAATGGGGCAAGGAACTTTAAGCAGGTTTTTAAGATTAGTAAATACTGATACCATAAGAAGCATGGGATACATTAATATTTTTCATTTAAATAGCTGACTTATACTGACTGTATCTAGAAACATGACCTTTCTTGGGCTGAACCTCTCAGGTTTATAAATGCAGTTTACTAAGGCCATATACAGGAAAATATATATAGTATTTTTGGTAGTGCTTAGAGCTGCCAAAGACATAGAAAACTGGAGCAAGTCCTCCTGTAATTTGTTTAATTTAGTTCATCTAGCATTTAGTGGGCGGCCCAGCCCTAACCGTGGACATAGACACTACAAGTGTCTTTCCTGCAAGTCTTTGATAAATACCTTCCTCCTGAACCCAGGTCAGGCAGTCCTTTTAGAATTTCAGAACAAACTTATCTTGAAAAGTGAAAGTGTTTAATATAAAAAACGTGGAGCTTTTTATTTTACTTTTTACTTTTTTGTTTTTCTCCTAGGAAGAACAATTACATAAGAATCATTTGAATAAAGAAAGGTATGTCAATACTTTGCATTAATGAAATTTAGAACTATGTTAATAATGAAATGTAAATGCTTTTCTTTTCCTTTTTTTTTTTAAGAATTTAAATGCATCTAGTTGTCTACTATTAAAAATACACAAGGCCAGACAAACTGCAGGTATAAAAGCAGAGTAAATGAGGAAAAGTCCAGTACTTTGAGGATTCTTTGTCTCTACTATTTGAGAAAATTAATCACATTGCTTAAGTATTGTTTGGCTTTGGTTTTTTTTTTAACTGAAATTGTTTCATACAGATCTGAATCACCACCTGTTCCAGCAGTCAAGAACAGATTACACCAGGTACAACAAAAACAGATACATGCTTCTGATTTCCTGGTGCATAACAGTAGTAGAAGAGAGAAAAGACTCAAGACAGAGCCACAGCCGAGGAACTCCCCTCCTCCTGGTACAGAAGCTGGAAGACCTCCCTCGTCGCAATTCATTCCCTATGTTCGAACAAATGAAGTGTATTATCTAGATCCAGATGCTCCAGTGAGCAGACCTTCAACACACGACCCACAGTATCGACAGTTTAATGGTACTGAAACGTATTGTGAACTGATTCATGGAGAAGGGAAGAAATGTTACAGTGATTTAGTTCAGAGTACTACAATTAGTTCAATTTGGTATTTGTTTTTACTGAATTTTGCAGAAGCCCATGGGAGTCCCAGCACTGTACAGAAAGCCTTATGCAACAAAATGATATTCTGTGTATTAAAAAAAAAAAAAAAAAGTCAGCAGAAAAAGTTTTTTTAAAAAAGCATCAGAATTTCTTTTTATTTTGTCTGCTTGTTTTGTCTGTTTACCTTTAATGATTGCACTTCTCTGGTATTATTGTATGGGGATTTGGGTTTAGGAATCTAAGTGATTGTAATCTGATGGCAGCCAATACCTAGTTTTCATAAGCTGTGAAGATCTACTAGAAATTAAATGAAAAATGATAAAGAGTGTTGTTAACTAATTTGATATACTTTTACTTTTAGATTCTTATCAAAAGCCACGACAAATTTTTAGCTCTGATCATGTTAGAGATCCTCTTCTAAACCCTGATGTAGTTAAAAGCAGAGAGAGACAACAAGCAATTCTCAAAGGATTGTCAGAATTACGCCAGGTAAGCAAAGAGTAGTTGGATAAACGCGTGTATAGACACACATACTAAAGTCAAAGTGAACATTGCAAACTATTACATAGTAATAAGCATTAGTTTTCAATTGTTTTTTCCATCATATGTGATTAAGTTTTGGGCCCTGTACTCTACTTTTGCTCCGCCTTCCTAATTTTGCTTTTCATGTGTTACTTCCACCTTTGGACCGTCCTTTAAGAGTGACTGTGGACTCTTTAGTCCTTAGATTAGTTGTGAAGCAGTGGAGTACGTGAGAATACTTGAACCAAGAGGAATCGGTTTATGTAATCTCCAGGTTTTTATAGTAGGAATGTTCCAATTTCAAGGGAAAAAGGACAGTATTCTAACAAAACACTAGAACTCCTACTAATGAAATTTCACTTCTGCGTTTCATGGGTTAGCCGGTCACGACAGAGCAGTGTGGTTGGTGCAGAAGAGTTACTGGGGTGATACTCATGTCAGTCCTGGAAAAATAATTTGCAAATTTCAAGTCTGCTTGTAAAATCCTTCCAAGCTAGTTATTCATTAACATGTAAAGTTCAGAATTTGTTGATCAGCCATATTTAGTGAGTGAATATAAAATTAAATTTAGCCTAATGCGGTACACACACGAGCTCCTGAGACAAAAGCTGGTGTATGTTTGTAAACACTGTTCTATTTGTAGTAAGTTACTGGTAAAGATTACATGTACAGGATTGCTGGAAGCATTTTGAATGTGGTGAGACTCGCCGTTAAGGATCCACGTTGCAGTAGATTGAAGAAGCACAAAAGAACTATAGCTGCTAACTAGTTGCATGTTTCCTGGAGCTGGAATACCAGGAAAAACACTGTCAGGCATCAAGTTATTAAAACACGAGTGAATTTGATACTCTACCTGTTCCTGTAGCAGATTGAACCCGCAGGTCTGGATGATCACACAAACAGCTTCCTTTTATGCTTCTAAATGGCCCAACTGGACTGCAAGACAAAAAAAAAAAATTCGCTTCTAGGTTTTCATTTTCTTCTTGAAGATCACTGAAGATAAACATGCATCAGTATGTTCCCTTGTTTTTTGAATGGCTCCATACTAAAAGAACTGTATTGCCAGCAGCATTTTTTTTTTTTTACCTTAAGGGAGGAAAAATACATTCTCAAAATAAAGGGAAGAAAATCTGACAGATTTAAATACAACAAAACTAACAGTAGTTAATGCTGTTAAATTACCTGCTGTACTTTAGAAAGACAGATGTTCTGCCATGCGTACATCGTGCTTCAGGAGTAGGGACATTCCTTCTGTGAGTGAAGGGTCACGGCTCTCCCCCAGTTCTCAAGAAAAGTTGAGCCAAGAGCACTGAAAGATCACCAATTTCTGAAGGCTTCCAGATAGGTTTGACTGGATCTGGTCTTCCCCCGTGCCCACTGACATTTTTATTCTATATCTGCAACTGTTAAGAATTTTGTATCTAGGCTTTATTTGTTTAGTATTTTGGTTAAGAGCGAAGCCAGCTTCAAAGCACAATTTGATCCTTGTGCTTGCTGAAGTGAACAAAAGCCAGAATATTTAAAGAGATATAAGGTGAGACTATCCTTGTTGGCAAAGTTAGGAAACAAGAGCTTGGGGACATTTTTTTGAGGTATAGCATACATTCCGTTCTTAACAGTGGCTAAATGCTAAGGTTAGTCTTTCAGTGGACCTTGGTTATGGAAGAGTTGACTTAAAACACGTAGAGGTCTTTTTTTAAATATCTACCAGCTGCAGAACGTATTTAGGACATTAGTTGTTGAACCTGGGTATATCCTGCATACCTGAATATTGTCTACTACTACAGACACCACCTGTTTTGCGTACGTTATGTCACTGAGAAAGGCAAAGTGGTGCAGTATGAAATACAATTTAGACAAAGAGCAGAATTTACTTCTCTGCCACCATAATTAGTCTTGTGTTTTAAATTTATATATACATATGTATATATACACACCAATAGGAACTATCAAAAGACTTCTTGTTTTCCTCACTGAAATCAAAGTGGATTAAGCCCGAGTTTATTCACTCAGCAAAGGAAATTAAGTATTTGTGAAAAAGAAGGGCCAAAGTTTAAGATGAAGGACAAAAATGCCTGCTACAGTAGTACAAGTACTACTTGGTACCACATTACTCCTGACAGATCCAAAATGGCTCAAGACGAAAGGCCCAGATGTATCAATATAACCCATTAATTACAGCAAAGACATTTTAAAGAACATACCTGACATAGTTGTATCATGTGCTGCTGATCACAGAGCCAAGGATACGCTTCCAGAAGTTCTTTAGTACAGGTTTTCTCCATTGCCTAGTACTTAGGAGAGCCATTAGCGAAGCAGGAACCTGTTACCTTGTGAGAGTAAATGTGCATAGCCTAAAATGTGCGGTACTCATCTAGTTCCAGTGGGAACGCTGTCCTTTACCTTGGAGTGTAAGGCAAGACTAAAAGCTGGGACCCATCAAGGTTTTGGGTTCAGCTTCCTACAAGAATATGCAGAGATACCACAAACGTAGTAACAATGCACACAGGAGTGAGCAAGTTGAATTTAATACAATGGAAAAGTCCTTCTTCTTCTGCAGAGTCATCCCTGGAAAGTAGGCTGGCTTCCACTTCAGGTCTTTTGCAGAAGACCAAAACCTGCAGTTCCCTCTCTACCAAATACTTTATGTTGTACTAAAACATTGAGCTTTAACAAGTAGATTGAAAATATTAAACAGTGACACTTTAGGCTGCATGAGGAAGACGGAACATTCACATTTATATTTCCTTTGTTTCAGGGCCTCCTCCAGAAGCAGAAGGAGTTGGAGACTGCTCTGATTCCTCCCATAGTGCAAGAAGAGAACTTTATTTCACTATTTTGAGAGGTACATAAAGTTCTGAATTCTTAAAATGTAAATGCACAGCACTTTGTTTGGCACTGTAATTAACTATGAACCATCTCTTTTTTATGAAAGATTTAAATTATGTGGATTTTGATAGATTCCAGGGTTTTGTTCCTTTTCATATTGAAGTTACACTAAACTAGTAATGGTGTATCTGTTTAGAATGGTCTTCATACTACCTGAAGACAAGGTCCATTTAATATAAACCACTAAATCATAGAATAAAAATATTGGTTTCTTTTTTTAGAATTCTATATGCATTTTGATAAATAAAAAATCTTAAAATGGACTCTGAATGGCTTGGGTAGACTTTGTTGGTTTTTTTAACTCTTTAAAACTGCTTTTACTTAACTAAGTATTTAGACTTAGACAATGCATAATAACTCAAGTACTCTGAGCTGTTACGACCACGTAAGTACCAACCATCAACTTTTTTCCCCTACTCAGTTAAACCAGGATATTAAAATAGGCTATGCCTAAACTCCGAGAAGTTTTCTTATAAACGAGGTCTGAACAGATCAGCATGCAATGCTTCTAGTCAGATTTCAATGTTTACTGCAGTTTGATTTGTTTAGTATTCACAAGGTAGGCTAAGCTGGGGTAACACCGCTTCTCTTCTAGATCTCTGCAGAAGATGCACAGCCGGAATGTGTGAGTTGTTCTGTGATACAACATGAGCAGTGGCACAGAACCTCCAAAAGGAGACTCCGCCCAGCAGCAGCTGTTGTCAGACATAATGTGAGTGTGAAGGTCTCTCACAGCAGTAGCTAAGGGAATCAAGGCGTCCTCTCCTGCGTGTGCCGAGTCAGGCAGGAGATGAGAATCGTCACTTGGTGGACTAGGTGCTAGAACAGTTAGTTCTTCACAAAATCTATTCAAGGTGATTGTTTTTTAAAAGCTACCCTTTTTTGACTAATAAGATGTGTTGCAACTCATTTTGTAAGAGTTTAGAGTTATGTAGTTTCAAACACCATCATCTGGTACTAAACTGCACATCCTACATAAACGCATTAAAGTCAAATTAGAAGGAGGGGAAAAACCCCCAAACCTCTGTTTAGACACCTTGAAGACGTGAGCAGGAACTGTACAAGGCACTGCAGAACCAGCAGAGTGGTAACGAGGGCAGTCTTGAGGTGCCACAGCTGCTGTACAAAATGAGCCAATTAAGAACAAATCACTGAGGAAAAGTACGTTTATAACTCAGGAGATGTGAAATTAAAAAGGACTAGATTAAGAAACAGGTAAAATTCTATTTAAAAAAAAGAGAAAAAAAAAAAAGAAGCTTCAGTAATCATTATGCCAAAATGCAAGAGGATTGAGGTTCTTCTAATGCAAATTGAATGACCACAGTCATTAAAGCCAGGTTTGCTCTTCTCTCATTACAGTAATTGCAGTGGCAAGATAAAAGTTGCAAGAGCACTCTGTGGTGCCAGGTATCAACATTAGACGCAAAGATAATTGCTAGTCATGAAATAAAGTTCGGGTATATTTCCCACATAATTTGAAAACAATATAAAAACCACAGACAATGCAATATGTTAGCAAGTCCCTTGTGCATTAAGAGTTTATTTAATTTTTGTAATGGAACTGCACCATTGGTTACTCTAATTGAGGTATTTAGCCAAAATCCAGTATATAATCATGAAAATAACTACACTGCTTTATAGTTATGTAAAAACATTTGTACAAAATTTGTGTCCAATGTCAAATAAATACAGAAGTTTTGATACTTATGTAAAGAAGAGTGATTTGGATACTCTTACATTTAAAAAAACATCTTACTGTTTCACATATTTTAGGCAAACATTCAGTTTTACATTAAAACAGACCTCAAACTGAAGCCCAGGTACAGGTCAAATACAAATGTAGAAACTTAAAAGTGCCAACAAACAAGATAATTCAAGTACAGTAAATGTTAAAAAATATATATTTATTTCAATTTTCAGATGCTTCTAACAGGTACAGGCCGTCAGGATTTAAATAAGACAAGAAAACATTTGAGATAAAGACAAGAAACATTTTTGTTCCAGAATAAAATAGAAATTGTTAATCCACCATTTAGAAACAGAAAAGTCCACTGCAACTTAGAAAAAGACTTAGGAGTTTATTTCTGGTTTGAATATGGCCTGGAAGAATCACAATTTATATCCCAGCCACCAGGCAACGATGACTTTTCTGTAACCATGCTCTGACTGTACGCAGATAGAAAATAATTGCCCCCTTCTTGGTTTTGACTTGCGGAAGAAATGGGGTATGTTGCTCCCAGAAAAGTCTGATGAGTGAGTACATTAAAGTGACTGAACTGATGGGACATGTTTAATTGGCTACCGTAAACTTGGAAGTTACTGAAAGGAGCTTGGTCAACAGAGTTGTGTTTTTCTCCTTCAGCAGAGCATGCTGTAGAAACTGGAGGAATGGGCTGTATCTCTTCCAAGCCAGTTTTAGAAGTCTTTTCCATCAAGCCAATTTGTGCTTCAGGAGATAACTCTGTAACTGATAAGCAGCTTGCTTTTGCATCTGCTCCATGTGAGCCCTTGGCCTCTGTGTGCAAAGCTTCCAAGTGAGTATCATACTTAGAGGCATCACTGCAGATTTCTATTTGTGATGTTTCATCCCCTGAATCCAGAGACATGTCCTCCTCATCCTTTTCATCGTTTTCTACAAGAACTACATTAAAAAAGAGAGAAAGTCCTATTCTACTGAAATACAAGCTTTGGTTAGAAAAGCTATACGCTACTCACAGAGTGTTATGCCTCGGGTCTGTAAGTCCAATATCATTTAAGTCTTGGTCTTCCGCCACTCTTGTTCACTTACTCAACATACACACTTAACCCCCTGTGTGAGTGTCCAGTTATTCCGATGCTAAAAGCTTCTGCGCATTGGTTTCATGTTTAGTGTTGGGAAACCCCAACTCCCAGCTCCAAAGGGGTTAATGTCAAAACAGCATCTAAAGTTACACAGTAGGTGAGTATTTGATCAGACAATTCAAGGAGTACAATTACTGACATCTCAGTCCTGTCCTTATGGTTTCTAGAAGCTATCACTAAGTTTACCCTTCTCCCGCGAACCGGCAGTTACACCACTGGGGCATACGCCTACTCTCCTGAACACCGCCTTAGGCTGTAGTTCTGTCCTTAAGATCTCCTTTGGTGCTCCAGCCCAGCTGCTTGGCCCCCATCATTTAATATACAAAAAGCAGCTTGAGAGTTGGGTTTTCCTTGCCATCTGTAGCGTTCCTTTACAAGAGTAAAGGCACGATCTCTCAAGGACCTCCACCCCACACATCTAACTGGGTAAAGAAAGTATAAGCGTCTTTACCTGATTGTCTCTTGTGAGCAGCATCTGAGGGAGGGAGGCTGTTCTCTTCAGTAACTGAGTTGTGATACCCAACGAGACTTTTAAAATTTTGCATAAAGTCATCAACAGTAGCCACCACTATTCCATTATCAATGTAATCTGAAAGGGTCTTGAGATTCTTCTCTAAACACATAAAAGGAGATTTAGTAGTAATATTTAGCACCTATTATCAAAGGGGGGAGAGAAGTATTCATAGATTTGGGGTGTACCTGTTAAGAAGACAATGTGTCTCTGTTGTATGTTTTGAGCCTGAAGCCTGATGAGACAGTCTAATTCTGGAGCATTTCGGGTTTGAGAATCACAGTGATGGTAAGACAGAATCTCAACCAAGTGCTTCTTTTGATACGTGTTCAAGAGGGTCAGCAGACTCAGGGCATTAGCATTCATTCTGCAATTGGGGAATAAAGGGCAGTATTAAAAAGATGCTTGATTTAAGGTAAATCTAAATATTAAAATTGAGGCAAAGACAAACGTAAGAGTAAATTCTATTTAACTGTGTTTTGGAGAGCATCATTAAAGCTGCAACATTTTAACAACTGGTATTTGAAGAACACTACTTACCTCCCCAGCTCTTTCAGCTTTTTTTGTATTTTGCAGTGGACTTTCCACTGCCATTTCCCATCCGGGGTATTGAGATCCTCCAGAAACTTTAAGAACTGTTTTAATTTATCTGTTATGGAGATGTTGAATAAAAGTTAAATTTTGTGCTATATGCAAACTGAAAATACTGCTTCAATATATACATAAAGCTCCTATATGTTTTCATCCAAGTATAGTTACACAACTACTAACATTATCCTGGTACTTCAGGTTTTCTTCCTGGCAGATTAGCCAACAACAGTGTGCTAAAACTGAGCTGCTTTTTTTGTAGGTCAGATGCCTCACAGTGACAGCTGCTGAATTCAGTAAGTGCTCAATTCAGGCTTATGTGGTTTGCCTTGCTAAAATATGGTTTTTTTAAAACTTATTTTAAAAACTTCATTAACTATTCAATTTCCAGTAAAGTGGGGGGAAAAACAGTTTTTCAGTATTTTTTTAGCATATTTGTGGATGGAGTAGTAAGGAATACAAGGTTCCATATACGTAATTACACAATCTAACACGAACTCAAAAAGATCTCCGAGTTCACGTGCTCCCCAGAAACATGTTCTCCAAAAAGGGCAGTGAGGTAAGAAAGACACGACATTAGTTGAAAGATCTCAAAAAAACCCCAAGTTTTTAGAAGACTTGAAAATTGCAAGACTTGATTGTTCAATGCAACAAATACAGCATCTCTCATATACTGAAATGTAAATGTTAGGCTTCTGTTTTGTGTGTTTTAAAGCTTCAGAAAGCATCACACTTACCTGTAGTAATGGACTCTGGATTAAGCACAGATTCATCTGACACAACAAAACCACCTGACACAAACAGCTCATTGTAAGTGTGATTTTTCACGTCGTCCAAGCTATCGACACCGGCAAAGCTGACACAAGAAAGCCTCTTCAAAGTTACTAAGCCAGGTATCTGTTTAAAAGTGTTACAAATCAGAGATGCATACCAGAGATCATACAAATAAAAAAAGAAATACATAACTTTCCTACTTACTAATACCAAATATCAAACTTCAAAACTCATTTTCAAAGAATATTTTTTCTCTTGCCTTGGGAGGTGCTCTCTCAAACACGTTACAGGAAGGCGACAAAGGAAGTTGGGTGCTGGGAATGATCTGACTGTCCAGCACCAGTTCATAAACCGCAGCTGTGAGGAACCCCGGAGGTCACACGACAGCCACCTTCCCTTGCCCTCACAGCACCTCAGAACCAGCAGCAGAACCGCTCAGGCCTCTCTGCCACTCGACAGCTACTACGAATAAACATGCATGGGCACGTATGTGGAGGGGGAGGAAGTGACAGGTTTATGATGGAACAAGACTAGGTATTTACCACAATCAATTTTGTTTCTTGAAACAGCAGCTGAGCACAGGGCGTCACTCAAAAAAGCAGCCTTGCTCCACGTGAGCTTCTCTCACGATGCTTTACCAAGGCTTACCTGCATACACATCTACTCAGGTGAAATACCTTGTGGATGAGGTTGGCGATGTCCTCGTTTTGGATGATTATCAACAGTTTATCTAAAGCAGCTCTTCTTTTAAGGAACTGTTCTGGGTGGGACTCTGTATTACCTAACTTTGTAAGATATTCCTAAAACCACAGAAAGAGAAGATTGTGAAGAGAAAGTTAATACGTAGTTTGGCCAAAACAATCCCCACATGATGATGACATCAACTAAGTTTTCCACTCGAATCTCAGAGGCACTGGTTTCCTTGTCTTTTCGATACATCACGTGGAAGGATGTAGCAACAGAGAAATAGGCTGCTTCAGCGAGTCAGTCATTCTTACAGAATCCCATAGAAATGGCCAACTCACAATATCAAAACTACAAGAATTTTCAAGTAAAGCCAGAAGTTTTTGTCATTTCATAGAATCATAGACTGGCCTAGGCTGGAAGGGAGAGATCATTTAATCCAACCTCCCTGTCATGGGCAGGGACACCTCTCAACTAGATCAGGCAACACATCACTTTGAACTTTCATCTTAAACAGTTAAATATAGAAGAACTCCAAGTTACCTGTACTATGAACTGGAAGGGGAAAAAAAAAAAAGTCAGCCCAAACCACACACATCAGCTTCTCACATATTCTTTCTAAAATGGGAAGCTGTCACATTTTTGCCATTGTTAGCATTTTTCTGTAAAGGCCACCCCCCCATAGTATCTTCAGAAAGAACCAAACTACAGCCTGTTCCGCTTTCCAAAAGAGACATGTAAAAGCTAAATATAAGCAAGACTGCCTCAGAAGCTCAAACGAGAAATGGGACAGGACAGCCTATTTTCACAGTTCGCTTCCACAATTCAACATTTTTTGAAACAAATTTCAGACCACCTTGTATTTGCAAGTCCAGTTTTATACATTCTGATTTGAAAGGCACTCTATGTTAACACTACAGAGAGGTTGAACTGGAACATATTTACCTTGATTTCTTTGCAGAGAACACTTTCCTCCTCTTCATGAATATAAAATTTCACAGTGTTTTTCTGTATATCTTTAATAATTTTGACCAAACTGTTGAATTGTTCAGGTTTTAACTGGCTTATAAAATCAGAAAAGGCTGGTTGGGTCGAAATGTTTAAGTTCTCTGTGCATTTCTGTGTCTTGTCTGGTGGCTCCATCAGATCAGCACTGGCACAGGTCTGATCAGCTGGCAGCACATCCTCTGGTTTAGCACACGCATCATCCATTTCCTCCTTCACTGCAGGGACGCTTGACAAATGCTGCTCATTAGAATCCAGATCTTCCGTCACGTTATTACACAACTGCTCTGGTAACAGCGCTGTGTCGGAGTCCCGGCAAACAGGCAACGTGTCGGGTGGAGGATTCAGGGCGGCGTTACTAACCGCTTCCGCCGATTCAGGACTGGAATAAATAGGTGGCGTATGCCTAATGCACGAAGACGACAAAATAACACTAAACTTTTCACTCAGTGACTCTACATATTCTTGGACAGAAACCTCTGATGCCTGTAAGCATAAGTGTTCGGAAAGTCTCATTATCCTCTCTCGGGCAGAGAAGACTGGTGTGGACATACCACTAACATAAGCAATATTCTTTTGGTGCAAAATTTCTTGAATCTTTCTTGCAAAGAGATTATATTCTTCTAATAGTATAGTCTCTATTACTGCACTAATGGAATGCTTGGTTGTAAAAGGGAGATCTGCTAGCCCACACTGATCTTCAAGTTTCTCGACTTGTCTTGTATAAAGTCCATCTTCTGCTGTCCCCTTTTGTGTGTCTGAAAATGGAGAGTACGGAAACTGATAATCAGAACTTCTCTGTCTACTTATTACCCGGGGGTCATTAGGAAAGGCATCCTTTGGTGGTAAATACACCAGTGGTTCTTCTGGTGATTTCAGACCTATATAGGAAGAGTTAAGCATTATCAGCTCACGTTTGAAAGTCATATACAACTGATACAGTAAAACCTCCAAAACACAGTTTTAAAACAGCATTACCGTTATGCCTCCCCCTCCGCCCAATCATCCTAAATCCAAAGGACTCAAGCGTTAATGTCTGATGAGGTAGAGAAGCACAGAAAATTTTAACAGTTCTTAAGATAGCAGAACAATAAAGTCAAAGTTTGCTCAAAAAAGCAGAACACAAGTAATATTCCAGAGATAACATCTGATTAAACACTACAGGAATGTCCTGAATTACAAAAAAATAGAAAATCACATTAGAAATCAAGCAGGGTGACAAATTACTCAAGTATTTTTATTTGCTTCCAGTTTATAATCCTCAGATTTTCAAAAGGCTTGGTTTAGCCACACACTACCTTGTTGAGCTAGACCACAAACTACAAGCTGCGTTCTGATCTTGCAATTGAAAAAGGAAGTGGATTTTTGCTTGTTCATACATAGAATCAGTTATGCTGCAAGGAGTGCTGAAAGCCTCTCATAATCCAAACCTCACACAATCCACAGTCGAAACTGAGGGGTTTCTTGTTTTTAAACCAAATGTAACACTTTACATTTATGGCAATTAATGTTATGTGTGTATATACACACAGACATTTCAGGCACATACGGGTATTTCAGTATCTATCTCTGCCATAAACACTTCGAAGGAGTTGGATTTGGTTGGTTTTGTTTTAGGTTTTTTGTTTGGGTTTCTTGCGCTTTTGTTTTGCTTTTTTCTTAAGTGTTGTATTATTGTTAAAACTAATACAGTTGCAAGCAGAAAACCTGATTTCTGGAACAGCACCAATAACAAATAGTAAAAGCTATACAGTGGCTTAAAATTTGAGGCTATTTTTAGAACTTACTACATTTTAAAACAGCTAATCAGTTGCATACCAATTTTTAGCAATGGAGGTTTTTTCCTATAGCTCTCCTGTATGCAACCCCCCAAAGTTTCTGTAACAATTATATTATGAAAAAAGGCTTTAAAATATATATGATTAAGAACTAATCAGGTTATTATTCAAAGATTATTTGAAGTTTTCCAGGAAGAAAGCAGCTTTGTTTCAAAAACCAAAAGTCTTTGTTTTTTAAAAGTTTTTTTTTTAAAAATATTAAGCAGAATTTAAACAGAAAGATGTACTGCTGAATATGAAATCCAAAATATTTTCTAACACGTAAAACCAGGATTATTATTTTTTTAAGTGTTTAAAGTTATTCTTATTTAAATGATTCTCTGAAAGCATCATCCTTCATAGACGTACACCTTTGGGTCACAAGTCTTCAGAAGAAACATATGCATGAACAAGGAGAAACACCTAAATAAAACACTTTGACAACTATTCAAGTAAGATTTATGATTTCAAAAATACCCTTCATTGGTAATATCTTGTAGCTGGGTATGTCAAAGCAAAAAAGAGAACTGCCTGAACACAGTCTTAGACCAGCTATTTAAGAGCCGCTGCAGTAGTCACCCCTGCAGATTAGAATTTTTCGCTGCTTAAGAAAGGTCCTTCTACAGTGACTCCAGAAAGAGGATGCTTGAGTAGATTTTGGAATCAGAAATTCAAACACCACCTGCCCAAGAAAGCCTGTAACATTGTTCTTTCATATCCAAGATGAATGTCATCAAAAGCCATCACTTAAGAATGTTTATTAATGCATTAATCTTCCCTTACAAGACCAGAAAGAATAGGCAAGAACAAACACTATTTTTGTGCCTTATGTCTAAAGCCAGAGAGTCTCAAATTCAGACCAGAAGTGAGTGAGGATGGATGTGTTAAAACACACGTGTGCCCAAGTTAGCTTTCAAAAATAAGACTCGGGTTTGCTTACCAATGTCCTAACTTTAGATTATGTAAAGATGAAGAAATGAACAATAACATGATACAGAAGTAGTCCAGATGAGCTGAGGGCTTATGAACAAGTATCTCCCCCAACACTTTCTGATGCCATCACGGAAGAAGCAAGACGACCTCCCCCTTCCTCAAATCACCAACTACAACAAGTTACTTTTTTACCTGTATCAAAAGCAAAACACATTTTTGTTTAAAACGAAAATACAAGAGACTGCTAATTTGCCTTCCTGCAATTGCGCAGAGATGAAAAAGAAAGATTGATGTTCCCTAAATTCTGTTCTTGCAGCTACCTTGCTATAAAAATGAGACATGGAGAAGCCATGAGATTTGGAAAGCGATCAGTTTCAGAAGAGAACAAAGCTTCCTTTAAATTGTATTACTGCATTGATCTTAATTTCCTAGAATAAAAATTCAAAGCCCTCTAGAAGATACTATGCAGGAAGATATGCCCGTTGAAAATTGAGTGCCAGTAGCCCAAAACACTGAAGGCTCTTCTGACTCTCTACAGCCTTCTTGATGTACTTCAGTAAAATGAGTCCACTTGCTGAACATCATATTACTAATCTAATTTTATGATGGAAATTCAATACCCACTGAGAAGAAGAGCTGCTCAGTAGTTCAGGCCATAATGACATATGCAAACTGCCCCAGCCACTCTTCTCACATGCTTATCCTCCTGTTTTTATAATGATCCTCTTGAACTCTTCCAGCCCCTCTTCCTATTTATATAGCACCTTTTACACCATCCTACTGCAGAGCTCATCAATACTTACTGCAGCAGGAGTTAATACAAAGAACTGACCTCACAGGATCTCAAGAAATCCAGTGATGCTCAGGGCAAGTTTTTTTTCATCTCTAGAAGACTTCAGAGAAATTTTTTTCTAGTAAAATTTGTGCTCCTTTTGTATCAATTGACAAACCTTTGCATGAACTCACACATCCAGCATCTATAATGAATTACCGTTTTCAGATGCTTAATCATCCACTTAACAAGTTATCTCAGCAACCATATCCTCATCTATTATATGCACAGTGGCCATTTCCTCCAGGAGTAAAATAACATCCTATCCAAACTTCACAGTCTCCATACTCCATAACTTAGCAAAATAAACCGATTTTTGATGTTTGGCCCTTAAAAAAAGCACAGAAAACATTACCCAGTTACCCCATCATTTTGTTGAAAGGCCAGTCAACACTGTGAAGGGAAACCTCCCTTCTCAGCCACGAAAACAAAAAAGAGCTGCTGAACTAGATAGGTAGCAGAAGTGTCTAAGAGACAGATTCCAGCATTCCTTTGACCCAAGGGAATGCAGTTAAATTCTGCCTTGATTTAGTCGTAAGACTTGACTTGTGGCCTTCAACTTAGAGCTCTAGACTATTCCTACAGCCCAGTTTTCCCATCCTTCAAATCCACACTTTTATACTCTCCCAAGAGTAGACACTGCTGACTCATTGAGAAGTGGAACAAGAAGCTTCTTCTGTAAGATTTAAGATTTAAATGTTTAGATAAGGACAAAGACTTCAAAGAAGCACTTCCACTAGAAGAGCTTGATGCAATAAGAAGTAGATGACTTACTATAAGGACACATTTTTCATTAGCTTTCTGGATTACTAGTTGCAATTATCCACCCACCCAATCTTTTAGCAGAACCTAGCAAGTTCAAACACAGAATTCTAAAGTTATGTACCTCACCACATAAATACTCAAGCATACACATTTCTGAATTGTCAGTACTCTCCATCAGTATGTTTTCATCCAGCAGATTTCTGTATTAACCAAATATCAGAAACACCTGCATAGCCTACATATATATATGCTCATGTACCAACAAGTGACCCAAAAATGGGATCTATGAAAGATACAAACCTTTAGAACATCTTTTCATTCACTATTTGTGGCAACATAAGAGTTAAGCCCATCTTACCTGTAATTGGAATAAGTTTCCAGTGCATTCCAACTTCTCCTATATTATTTGAGTTGGAATGTTGCCTGCGATAAACATGTTCTATAGGTGTACTAGGACAGGCATTGTAATCTTCAAAACTACTTATACTTCCAGTGCTTGCTTCCTAAAAAACAATACAAATTATCAGTTCAAACCTTTTTTTTTTTTAGTAGCTACTAAGCTTTTACATTCTGGACAGCTGACAGTAACAACATACCTGAGATCACCACCATATTTTGCCTTCAATGAAGTCAAACTTGGAAATGCTTACATGAGGTACTTACATATTTAATCTACCTGGTTGATAGTTTCTGAGACAGATGTCTTTGCTGATTGTCTATCACTATGTAAACCAGGCAGTCCTGAGCACGTGCCTTAGAGTACAGAAGCTGGGTGGGGCAGGTAGGAAAAGAGGAAAAGAGGGCAGAAAAAAGCCAGCAAGCTGTCTTCTCAGCCTTTTTCAGGCTGTTGTCTTGATAGCTGACTAAAACCCTGAGATGTTGGCATTACTGAAGAACTGCCTGCAACTAGTATTAAGCCCTTGAACTATCCACTTTCATGTCACATTCCAGATGGTTAGAAGCAGAACAGCACAGAGATTACAGGCAGGACAAACTCCCTAACTTAGAAACTGGACTTCATGTTGAAGTACCAGTAACAGAGATCATAGAACAACCACTCTGTAGAGCAACGTGACTGTGCAAGCAGCCGGGGCACACAAACCTGAAGCACGAGAGCGTTCTTCAGTGAGTGTTCTGCCAGTTATGTGCTGTTCTGAAAACCATGCACGGAATATGTACACACCACTGCACTACGAAGGCACACAGAGCTAGGCATGCATTTAAGTCCTTGGAATTTTTCAACTGCTGCCACTAAAATCCAATGCAGCCAATTCCCCAACCATCCTTAATATCTGTAGCTCATTTCAGGCGTTTCTTAGCACTTGCTCATTCTGATGCTGCCAGAGAGACAAAAAGAGGCCCATCATCTTTTCCACAGTACAAGACCAAAGGTGAGGGCTGCAGGCCTATCACTTGTGCACGCAAGCGAGGGGCATTTTCCTGCCCTATAAAACACCTGCTACTATTAAGACAGAGGGAGAATACACTTTGAAGAGGCTGAACCAAGACTGATTCCCAGAACTGGAGCAGTAACTACAACAAGAGCAAAAGGATGCCTGATGATTGTAAAGTGGTAACAATCACTGTATTAAGCCTGAGGTACTGCCACTTGAAAAGGTCATTAAGGCACAGAAACAGTCAGCTATTGCCATTGGTGTTTTTGTTTGCTTTTAAGGTAACAGTTCAGAACCCATAAAAGCATATTTAGTTCCTGAACACAATCAGACTAGTTTTGCCAATTTGTTCTAACAAGATGATAGAGAAAGCTATCATTAAAAGGAAACAGCTCTCATTCTGCTTCTCTACAGTAACTATTGATCATCTGTGGATTAACATTCTTGTTTAAGATACCTGACCAAACTCTACAGATCAAATACAGACTGCAATTTGACTTCTTTCACTTCCTTGCTTATGACAAGAAAACGACAGGCTGAAAAAAGTCTTCAAATTACGCAGCCTGCAACTGATATATTTATTTTTGGTTTGCATTTGGGGAAGAACAGGAAAGATTCTGGGTGCAGAAGCTTTGAAAGAAATTGTTTCAACTTAGGTCTGGGAGGAGCCTAGTCAAAAAAGAGGCTCGTTTCCATGCCCGAGATGGAATTTCATAATCGTGACAAGTTGTGACATCCAAAACACTTATCAGGTCTATAAGGTTAAAGCCTAAGTAGAACACAATCATTAACCGCCTGCCATGCAACCACTGCGGAGAGAGGGCTCACATGGAACAGAAACTATGGCCTCACAACCTACTTCTGGGAAGAGTAACAGCTAGGCAGCAATGATGGTGAGGAACTCTCAAAGCTCTCCTTACCATGCTTCAGGTTCAACAAACCTCAATGCCCTAACCAGACCAACAACCTCCCCCAAAGCAGGAGGAAGACGAAGGGCAGTAAGCAAGCTGTTACATTAACAACACTCACTCCACACAACAACTTCAGATTGCTAAAAAAGGCCACCACCATAACCAAAGTGAGAACCAGAAAAGAGCATCTTTTTTCTACAAGAGATAGAAGACAACTGCACAGCTTTGGTCTCAGCAAACATGAAAAAACACCCTCGTATACCACAGTCAGCAAGAGTGACCGAAGTTTTGCTGTCTACTGCTGGAGTAGCTGCATATGATATTTATTGTAAAGCTAGTGAGGAAGACTGACTATGGCTGCTTTCTGTCATTCAGGTATTCTTAATTATAATTTTAGTACAGGAATAGCAGACAAAGAACCAGAAGCATACATAGAACCATCTTACAGTTAACAAAATTTTTATATATGCTCTAACAAACAGAAAAGTCAGTGCTATATAAAAAAACAGAACTTTTTTCCTTCAGTCTCGTAATATTTATGAAAACAGTACAGTCATTATCAGCTTCTACCTACACGGCAGTTTCACTTACTTTTAAATGCAGCGTGTGTTCAAGGCTTGCTCCATTAGCTGAAAGCCGTAGATCAACATCAACAGGGTAAGGTAAGCACGCCGCATCTGTTTCCAGTATCACTGGGCTCTGTGGGTCCTTAAAGTTAACATTTTCAGCTTGAGCAGTATTAGGAAGCTCATGATCATCTTTGTCCTGTGCTGGAATGGATTCATATTCATATTTTTGTCTCATATCCTCTTCAATTTCATCAGTGCTTAATCCTAAAGCTTGATTTACAGACTGTGCCAACGATGAATCCACGTGTCCTGCACTAGCTAGTGTATCTAAAAGCAGTTTAATGAGGCCTTGTGTGTCACTAACAGCGGGGTCAGGAACATCTTGCTGCCTCAGGTCAGTATCGTGTCCACCAAGACCAGTGTTAACTGGGAAAACACAGTGCGACGAATCCGAGGTTCTGCCCCCTTTAGAGTAGGGGGAGGAGGGGAAAAGTAATTCATTACTAAGTTTTCAAATAAAAGCAAACCCAGACAACCCTCCCCAAACACCTGCCACATACCCACAGTCTCACTCTTTAGCATCAATTCGTACAGTACACATGAATTTGTTTTCTTAACAAAAATTTAAACAGATAGATGTTGATAAAAGGGCAGTTTCTAAAGCAAACAGTCTCCCTCAGATAAACAATTACCATTTTTCAGGTCACTCAATACCACACTATTTTATGTTTTAATAGAAATCACATGCTATGATTTATGTATTTTATGGAAACCTTGTAGAATTCTCCATCGCTTGTTGAGACAAAAAGATTAGTTTGAGCAAGATATTTACTTTTGTCCATCTGTCCACTGTTGCTCCAGAAGGCGGTAAGTATCTTAACACTTAATGCCATAAGTTATCTTATGTTTTGTGCCTCTCAGAAAGGAAACTTATTCCCCAAATCAGCCATTTCATCTTCCAAAGCACTTTGTGCACATGAGAATGGCTGGTGCTTGATGTAAATTCCCCTCTTCTTTGTGCCACCCTTCTCCCAAATTTTCCTCCTTCTGAAGGAGTCAGAAAAGGGTCAGAGAAACAGAAATGAAAGGGGTTTTTTTGGCAGGTCAGATAATTGGCAGTATCAAGATAACTATGTGAGGTTTGGATATAGATTATTTCATGTAAAGAATAATTCAATCTTAATGCTATTGGATCGCTTCCTTTGTCCCGCTACACACGTTAGTGCCTATTTCAACAACCACGTTCATGCTTTCAAGTTTACTTCCCCACTTTGATCTAAATTTATCAGGTATTATACAGGGCACTGGAGCCACACAGGATTACAGCAATACCTAAATTCTGCAAAAGGCATGATAATACCAAGGCTGCTTAGTACTGTGTATTAGAAACTCTTTGGACGGTTCCAGAGCAAAGTCACCTCTGGAAGTCCGCCTTCTCTGCAAAGAGGCGGAACAAAAGCAGCTTTCAGGTCAAGTCCTGTTAAACTGTCTCCAAGAAAGAGGCAATCTGCATAAAAATAAAACTTGATCTCCATTGCCAGATCTCAGACCAATGTTTAAATGAACGACCATGCATTAAGATATCCACAGAATGCAATAAATATTGAACCTGTAAAGATTAAATGTTAAATATGCTTTGAATTACAATGTTTACAGAGGAACTCCAAACAAAGACTTTCTTACCTTCATACTGATAACTATTCTCTGAAGGTTCACTCATTTTTAAGTATTTCCGCAAATTTTCAGACTGTTTTTCCAGCTTCCTTTTCAGACCGCTTTTATTTCTAAGGTCTTCAGAATCAGAATCTCCACCTACATTTTTTTTCCTACACTGGATTAGATTAATAAGTTCTTTGAGTCTGTCAGGATCATAATCTCCAGAATGAGGCAGTTTCTGCTTGGCAGCAGTGGCTTCGTATTTTGCACGGATTCTTTTCCCACTTTTTGCGTTGGCAAAATCAGAGTCTTCTATGGCTTCATAATCTGAGATGGGACTGAACTGCTGGGGTTTCCGATTTCCCTCCATCAATTCCTTAGCTCTAGAAACAGGTAGTTGATATGCCTCACAACCAAAAATATAGTTTTGCAAGGAGCTGTCAATATGAGATTTATTTTTTGGAGCAGCATAAAGAAATTTTTTGTCATCCAACCGTGATGCATACCGATATAATACAAATTCTCTATGTTTTCCAGAGCCACTATAGCATCTTTTCAAATACTCATTTATATACTTTTCCACAACAGCATTGAAATCTGCAGTAGCGTCTTTACGAGACTGGATTAAAGCAAAATGTAGAGACTGAATAAACTTTGTGAATTCTGGAATGATTTCCTGATTTTCGTGCAAAACCATGGTAGTTGAATTTTTCTGTGTTCCAAACGGAACACTTTTTTGTGCTGCCATAGGAGAAAAGGGAATTCACAATTACAATCAAATCATAAAGCTATCAATAAACGATGACTAGTTAGCAATATTCTGTATTACAAATATTTGGTGAAACATAGTTTGGAAGGACTGTGGAGAAATAACCCAAAAACTGAGAAGGTCATTGTTTTTGTGTGAATTAACCAGCTTTAAAGCCTACTTAAAAGCCAATCTACTCATAGTCATGATGAATTGCTCATTTTCATAGCTTTGTAGTAACCTGTATCCTAGATACACATATAATTTCCACTTTTCTGACCCTCCCAGGAGGCAGACACTTCAAAGGCTTACTGAAGTTTACTAAGCTGCAACCTAAAAACTCCTTGAAAAAAGCGGAGGAAGCATTTCTCCTTCCTGTGCAGTCCCGATGCATTCCTTCTGCTGCTTCTAAGCTCACTGGACCCTTATAAAATGATTCAGCTTAGCAACCCAGCAGAAACCTATACAGGTTTTTCCATTCCTTCACAAAGCAATACAACTCGCTAAATCAAGGAGACGCAATAGGAGAGTGTGCTAAGAGCAGGATTTCCCTGTCCTGGGAAGCTATAGATACTTTTACCACATCCTTGAAACAGCAGCTCAAGGAAACTTAGTTATATCCTTTTTAAATTTTATTTATGTATTCACACTCTTCCCCATCACAGACTGAAATTTTTCTCCATTCAACCAATTAAGCACCCTGAAGACTCAAATCAGTGATTAACCTTGTGTCTGACCGAAATCAGAACATACAAGTCTTCAAAATGGCACAGAGCAAGAACTGCAGTATTTTTAAGGAACTGGAAGACAGACACTTACAATGTCACCTTATACCCAGTCTCCTCTTACCCAATCTATAACTGCTTGGATTTTCACAATTATTACTCAAATAAGAAAAATGTAAAGGGATTATTAATAAAGAAATATAGAGATAAGAATCTAGGAAGCTGCCAAGACTTAAGAATTTCTTTGCAGAAATGAAATGCCTGGAAGGTGCTGTGTTTTGCTAATACCACTCCTATTCACAGCAGGCCAAAACGACTGCACCCTGCTGCTAGTGCTACTTACTGCAAGCTTCAATTGCAAGGGATTAACGTCTCACCCCTAATCATGGAAGTTCTACTGAAGTCAAGTCCTTACATTCATCTTTTATTACCTGGTTCTATCAATATGTTCTTTGCTCATTTAATCAGTTTTTGATGTGTATCCCAAACGCAAAAAAGAATAAAAATTACAGCCATGTTAAAGAGTTTCATATGTTTTGTCCCTAACGTTTTCACAGTTAAAGAAAGCCCTCAAACCTCTGAAGTGCGATGTTTTTACTAATGCATAGATCTCTTGGAATATTGATGCTCTGTTCCACCAGAATATACAACCAAGTAACTTAAGGAAAAAGTTTTACTTTTTAAAATACTAACAAACTAACCTAAAACATGCAGTGTGATCACTACTTTTGTGATGAAATAAGCACTTTTTCCCAACACTGTAATCATGACCATAACTAATGCAAACTGTTACACCAAGTTTACACTGACAGGCTACAACACTACAATGTCTTCAGCTGAATAGAAACCATATTTGAGTAAGTGCATACACAACATTCTCAGTGGTGAGCAAACTTACTTGAGCTTGTTACACCTCTAGGTTCTGGAAACAGAAACAATGCATGTAGCATGCGGGGCCGTCCAGTTTGGTGGTCTAGAATACAAGAACATAAGAACAGCTGAGAAGACCAGATGTCTCAAAAGACAATCTGGTACTCAAAACCCATCCCCCTAGAAAACCACAAAACTAAAACCAACTCCAAACTGAAGAACCCAGAGTATGCATACCGTAAGGGGACATCATTTGCCAAGGTGAAAGAAGAAAAAGAAACCCTCTGTCCAGAAGTGGCTTTACAAGAACCTGTTGGTAAGCAAAAAAAAGTATCCCATTTCAAACAATCCAAGATATTTGCTCATTATGAATACTCTTACATGTCTGTAAGCTAAATTCCATCATGGGTAGAAGTGCCCTGATACAACACTGATGCATACACCGGCTATGGAATTCCAGCAAGATCACAGGCCTTGCAGTACACCTCAACTACCAGTTAGTAACATTAAAAAACAGGAATAGCCATATCTGTTGCACTTACAAGTTTCTCCTTCTCTAGTTTTTGAAGTAAACCCTCCAAGTGACTACCAGAACGAGTCTTCTCCACAACTTCATAAAGGCTACAGTACATACCGTTCTTCAACACTGACATGGTACAAGGGTAGAAAGAGAAGGTAAGAAAAAAAAAGAAACAAAATTGTAATTCAGAACACTTACAAAATTCTGGAATAAAGAAAAAAAAAAAGCTAAAATTACTTACCTTCTTTTGCTCCTAGGTAAGTTTCTTTATAGAACAATGCTGGTGTAATTTTTTTCTTCAATTGATCAATGCTCACAACTTTTTCAACCTCAAGCTTCTCAGGACTGTAGATGAAGGGTGGAGGAAAAAAAAAAAAGAAAAAAAAAGAGACCTCTTTTTCCCTCACATGAGATGAAATAGAGAAATAAAGTCTTACTCTAATTGACCAAATAAGATTTTTTAAATACATGCTCTTAAAAATAAGTTCCTTGGACTACTGCGTGAGCCAAAGGTGTTTACTCCAGCAAAGGAGTGTGTTTCACTTCAAAGGCAAAAAAACCCAAGCAAACAAAAAACCCACACCAGTAACAAAACAAACAAGTGCACGAACAAAAAGCAACTCTGGACATGCACAACTCGAGAGGCTACTCTGACATACTCAAAGAGTCTAATCAATGTATATTTTAGATTTTGATCCGAATATACCCAAAATTCACCAGTTGCTACTAGCAAGAGTTTTAACACAGCACTATTTTAAAAATATTCTGTGATTCTGTAAATGGTAATACTCACAGCTTGCATGGAAGGAAAGGACGTGCTGCTGACTTTAAGGAAACATGGCACAGAAGTTTGCCTTTATTCCAAAGCTGTCCCCTCCATAACGTATAGTTAGATCTGTCTAAATTAAGACGGAGAAAGACAGATTAAAGTGAAACCACTTGCTAGGTGGGACTGAAAGGAAATGGCAGAAAAAAGGCTACTTAATCTCCAAAAGCACTTTAGGAAAAATTTGTAGTAATGGCAGACCAGACAATAACAAGTTAAATAGTAAGTTAAAAGGTAACAGAAAAGGTGTTTACAATCCTATCTTGTTTGGATCTGCTCTGAGCAAAGGAGGTTGCCATGTTACCTGTCCCTGTCTATACCAGCACGCCCTTGAAGCCGCCACCTGTGCAATGATATCCCCTCTCCTCCCCTTAACTGTCAACCTCTTTCATACATGTTTTGCTTGAATGAGGTTCAAAAGAAAAGCAGGACAGATGATCATATTATTTCAAGTGCCATTGAACAGGAGATTCAGGAACAGAAGGTAAGGTCTTACTATGCCATAAGCAGAAAAGGATGGGGAAAAAAAGACTTGATATTGTTGAATTCTGGTTTGTTCTGGCAAAAGATGATACACATTAAAGCGTCTGTTCGATCACCCAGTATCAGGAAGAGATGCCTGTAATCAGCAGATTGCATACTACTGACTTTATCGTACAGGACAATACTCAGGTACGCAGGCAGCGTAACTATAATTGTTAAAGACAAAGAAAAATAACACAGGGCAAAAAAAAGTCCAAAACCTTCCCTGTTTATACTATAAAAGCAATATGTATCAATTAATTCTTACCTGTACTTCTATCTGTGTTAAAGCTGTTTGATCTAACAAAAAGAAAAAGAGACAGAATGACTAGGTTGGTACAAATTTCTGGCTACTAAATTTTACATTAATGACACTTTATTAGTCTAATGAAATAGCAACACTGATAATTCACTCTCTAACCTCAAGCTACTGACGCTGCAGCATCTTGTGCTATTTTAAATATCTTGGTAACTAATTTTAGCGCTACACAGTACAGTTCCCACATCTGGATGCCTTCCTGCCAGCACAGGTATCCTACTTTAGCTGTAATCAACTCTCCACAAGTAAGGCGACACCAGTGAAAAGGTGAGTGACAAAGCATACAGAATATTTTCTTTAGAATACCAAGGAGAATCATGCTGTAAACATTTTTATGTCATTGGATTTCCTCAGTTAGGCAAAAAGAGCCTACCCTATATGGCTTCCACCTAGGCAGAAGGCAGGTAGGTGAAAAGAGGAGCAGAACTGCTTCCGGCAGGGGCCAGCCTGCTGCTCAAAACTAATTTTGCCACCTCGTGCTTTGCATTCAAAGCATTTATTATGTTAAGTCCCTGTGACATGTCCATTCATTTCAGCATTGTTTTTCTAAATCAATTCTAAGCTGCCGCCAAGAGCTACGAACTCTTCATGCCGCCTGCTGTCTTCCCAAAACTCAATTCTTAGCTTACCTCGACGGGGGCAAGAATTTTGGTACTTGTGCCATTTCATCTTTATAAATAAATGAAACAACAGCGTAAGGACAAACATGTCTTGGTCTTCGTCTTATTTCATCAAAGCCATATTCATAGAAATAGTACTAGAAAAAGAAGTTAACACAATGGTAAATTAAAAGTCTGGTAAATCGTATTCTGCAAATATACCAATATCCGTGACCTTTCTTCACCGAAAGTGAAACAAAAGAAAGAAAAAACAAACAGGGAAAAAAACCCAAACCCCCAATGCAAAATGCTGTTCATTCCTAGCCACTATTTTCCCTTTTAGGAGCCTCACTTAATGCCCACTGGCCAGTTCTACTTTACTCTTTAAACTCCAGATACTACCTCCTCTCCTCCCTCTCTGGCCAACATTCCAGTCCAGCCCTGGCTATTTCCTGTTCCCCCTACACCCTCACCTGAAGGAGATCTCCATCAGGTGCAGCTATAAGCAAGGCAAATAGGATGATGCGCTGTTCGGTAATTTCTAATACAGGCACGTGTGGGCAACTGCTACACATATGCCAGACTGCAGCTTTACAGGACCTGCTCAGTATTCACTATACCTTCAGTAATTTTATCTCCATCATTTCAGAAGTTCTGTTGATAATGTTCTTAAATAATAAAAAGCTAATGCATGCTCAACTTTCCTTTACCTGAGTAAGTTCGTAGGCTCGATAAGCCAACAAGGATGTTACTTTATTTGCATTCTTTGAAACATGACACTCGTGCTTTGGTGTTGGATCTAACGCACTCTTTACTGTTGATTCCATTGCTTTCATACCGATGTGGTCATATATGCTTTTCATTTTTCCCTGTAATAAAGCAGAAGAACTGTAAGCATTAGCTTTTTCCTGGAAACTGTCAAATTGCTTCAAGCACCAAAGGAGGTAAGAGCAGAAAAATGAACACAGGCCAATTAAAAAGCCATTTATAGAAGTACATTACTTTCATACTTTCAAAGAAAAAAGACATTTTTGTCTTTCATAAAAATCTATCATGCTTTATTTAAGCTCAACGTCAATATCAGATTTTAAACCTGCTAATGTTCTAGTTTCTCTATAAGCCCGTAATTGTGTAAATGGAAGTTCATTAAGTTGAAATGAACTTTGTTTTATCAGTGAGCAATATAATCCTTCAAGAATAAGCACTATAAATTTACCTTTATTACTTTAAAAACAATCACATCTCCAGTTGCTCCAGCTTCTAGAGGATTAGGCTGCAACAAATCAGCATACCTGGAGATGTATACACCTGAGAGAAGTATTAAAAAAAACAAAACCACAATGTTATGCTGAATGTTAAAACATTATTGCAAGTTTAAGAAGCATTACATGGTATTAAAGCTCAACGTATACCAATATATATATGGTGTATATATATACACACCGTATATATATGCTCATATAAGGAGCATATATGTTCTCTCCTCCTCACATCTGTTCTGCTTTCAACATTCATATTGTCACCTTCGCATCATGTTACTGGTACAGAGGACAACAAAATTATTTCTTTTCTATTTAAAAGGCTTTGCAGAAGGAACTTTGCAGCTCACACTTTCCTGTCTCTTAACACCTTGTGACACTTCCAAGTCTCAAATTTATCTGGGCTCTTCTTGGATCTGTGGATTCAAGAACTTCAGCTCTACCTACCTCGGTACTGAGCTGAGCTCCCATCTCCATCGGGTATTTCTGAACACACCTGCATGTACGTACAGAGAGAGGCACACGGCCATAGACCGGCACTGGAGCTCTGGCTTCCCGGTTTTAGTGGGAAGACACTGGTTTGACTTAAGCTAAAATGTGAATAAGTTCCTCCCTTTGAGAAAGTAATTTAAATGAACTAGTGAAAAACAGAGTTATGAAATAATGTTCTGATGTCAATTTACTTTGCTAAAAACACCTGGCTGCGATGTTTCTGCAGTGAATGACAGGAAAAGGACTGAAAGTTTATACGACTGCATCCCATTCTCTGCCCACTCATACTGAATAACATTAGCACATATAACCAAAAGATAGTTACCCATGGAAGGGCTGCCAAGAATTGTTATTTTGGAGTGGCCCACCTGCAGTCCCTTTTCACATATGCTTTGGATCTGAAGAGAACAGACAATTTTTAGGCAAGTCTATCAGGAAAGCCAGAATATGAACATTACAAACAGCGAAAAACAATAATTTCAGAATTTTGATTGAGCTAAGAAAAACCCCAAAGCCAAACCAAAAACAAATCCCAAAAACCCCTTATGAACAAAAGCCCCCCAGAGGTAAGACCAACTTCAATTGCTATCTAAACTGTTCAACCATGCAAGTCACTCGCTAGCAAGTGGTTACACAGACTCACACAGATCTTTACCAACCAGCCTCCCTGTACATTAAACACACAAAGCAAAAGTAAACATGCCAAATGGTTCAATGCTTAAGAAATAAAGTAATTAAGAAATTAAGTAGTTAATTAAGTAATTAAGAAATTCCCTTTTCATCACTTTCACTAAAAACATATGATCAAAGAAGAGACAGAGAAGATAAGGTCCATTTTCTAGTCATCACAGGTTACCTTCTCCTTAATGTAACTTCTTGATGCAAAACCACACAACATTCCTTTTCAATTGATAAAAACCCAAAAAACAAAACCAATAAAAACTCACATGCCATCCGGAAAATCTATCCTTTTATTTATAAAACAGAGCCTAAACCGGAGAAGATAGTTTATAGAGACATGTAAATATAGCACCTTAAATAGCAGAGAAAAAAAGAATATGAATGACGACAAAGTATCATATCCCTCCTACCTGCTACACCTTCCAGCACTGAACTTTTTTAAAATAACTTAAAGATTAATAAGTGTATCAATAAAAACACTCAGTTTAAAAAAAAAACCAAACTAAAATTTCTAATTGAAAAATAAGAGCAAGCATTTTATACACAGTTGTTTTCTTACCCGAGATCGATCAACCATCAGAAACGCGTAGCTTTCATAAAGCTCTTTTTCTAGGCGACCATCAAATTTCAGCTCTCTACGTTTCTCTGTAAACTATTATTACAAAAAGTTCTTAGAATATGCAGACAGACTGCTGTCACATTCAAGTGTCAATGTTTTAAGTCCTCACATGTTAGCAGATCCAAGTGCACCAAAATAAGCAGAAGATAATTTGAATGAGACTATAGTATGCTAAAATGAAATTTGAGAAACATTGTACCTGTGGGAAATATCATTGGCTCAATCTGCCCAAAGATTTGTTTGTCTAAGGAAAAGCCACTCTTCAAACAAACCTGTGCAGCAATGTTTCCGTGTTATTTTGTAGCTTAACTATTTAGAAGCATCCGGCTCAATGCTCCCCGTATCATCTTTGAAATGCCAGAAATAAGCCTTTTTCCCTTTTTAGGAGACAGACCGTTATTTCTTACATCGTGCATGCACTTTTGCAGTTGCACCTCACTGCTTCTGAGGTGCTTTTCCTGAGCTGCAATACTCCTTAGCTGTAGCTATGAATCACGTATCAGGGGAGGCAAAAAAAAAGCCAAAAAAAAAAAAAGAAATTCAGAGTTTCCCTCACAGAAAACCACTTACATATTCTATTACTCCATATGTGAAGCTTTTCAGCAACAGGACTGAAAACTTATTTCACAGTCATGAAAGAAAGTCAAGGACGGATTTAAGAGACAGCAGATAAGGTACAGCAGAAGTGCTTCAACCAAGCTGCTCCACTTAATAGTTCAAATAAATAACTCTTTTAGGTACTTCTTCTTGCAAGTATCACAAAATTATGAAGACTATGAAAGCTTAAGATGAAAGTATTTTCACAAGAAGCATCAGGCCTTTCAAATAAGAGACTGTAACATCTTTCCAGGTTATTAAAATTACATAAAATTTTAAAAAGTTTTAAAAACTAAAAATGTAGAGACAAGTAGTGCCAAATATAATTTCTCTTTTGGTCTTTGTTGAGTACCCGGCAGACAGAATTCTATGTATATTCAGTAATAAACTTGCCTGAAAAACAGCTGTTTACATTTTTGGGGATATGAGTTTGACTCCAGGTTCAGAAAAAAACCATTGTTTCATTTTACTTGTACCTTATTCATAAAGAGAAGCCACAAATATACTCACTTCCTTTTCCAACAGTTCGCTATGAACTAAGCTGGCTCTCTTGTAATTAAAATTGCCCACTGAACTTGGTTCCAAGTAGGATGAATGCAGAATCTTCACAACATCCTCAAATTCTCGAGAGCCTAGAGCTACCGGCTGAAAGAGTGCTACAAAAGAGGAAAATAAAATAAGCTCCAGTACATAGTTGAGAAAAGTCCAGAATTTTCCAGTTCATGGGCAGTTTATGCATAAAGAAAAATGAATTTTCCTTCAGATTAGAATACAAAACACCTGAAATATCTGGAAAAGATGGAATTTAGGCTAGAAAGTTTAAGTTGCTTAGAATTACAGCATCTTTAAAAAAAAAAACCAAACATTTCTTTATGCTTTTTTATTACTCTTGAATAGCTCATCCTTGGAAGCACCTCCAGTCTGAACTTACCCTTTGAAACATCTGATACGTATTGCAAAACACTGTAATTAAACTTTTAGCACTTTAATGAAACTAATTAGCTCTTTTAATTAAGAGTGAGGAACAAATTGTTCTAACAAAAACCTCAACAGTTTCATAACTTCGGCTCTCTTTAGAATCGTTACAGGGGTTTTTGTTTGTTTATGGTAATTAACCTAAATATTAATACATTCAATACTGTGTTTTAAGAAGTCAAACTCCTACTAAAAAACCCCACACTGTCTGTGTTGATGCTTTATGATCACAGTAACTGCTTTAAAAGGAGCCTTTCTTTTGTTGGACCGATTCACCTCCTGGGCAAACCTTTGCCTCAGTTCGCACAGGGAAGCGTTCATCTCCCCGGGCTTCTTTATCTGTGTTTGGGTACCCAAAGTGACAAACCAGTCTCACATGAAAGACAATCCACTTTTCCTCTTACAGCGTATTAGATTTAATTACATCTTTAGACGATATCTCTACGGTAGCAGATCTAAACAGTAATCTTTTCCTCATTTGCAAGAAGTATTTACAGCATTGGCCTCAATATAAACCAAATGTTCCAAATGAAAACTGAACTGTTTTGTGTTATCTCGTAAAAGCTGCATTTACACTCACACTTTATAATTTAATACCACATCTGCAAACTAAACCAGTGACTCCAACCACCAGTGAATAAGTGATTTTTTTAAAGGCATAAATTATGAAAGCGATTAAGAAACTGTTCTTATGTAATAACCTTTTTAGTAACAACACTTTCATTCTTGAAATGCTGACAGCAATATGGAGGGAAAGATTAACTGGAAGTGAATAAAACTGTCTACTTAGTATTTACTAAGACTGCATATCCACGCTTCAAAAGAAGGGGTCAAGGCAGAAGGTCACCATCGCCCGCTGCTTGTCCAAATCTCGTGTCCTTAACAGCAATTACTGCACCTCACCCCTGCTCCCTCCTTCCCCCTAGAAAGGCAAGCTCCAGCAAACCCGGCCCAGTTCTTCCACCTCAAGTCCAGGCAAGCAGAAAACTCTACCGGCAAAGAACGAGCGACCACAAACCGTAGCGCCATCACACTGTCCTGCCTACTTCCCCGATGCAAATCTAGGAAGAGGCACATTGTCACATCAAGATCCTGTCATTCATCCAAATACTGTCAAGTACGTTCCTATTTCTTTTTAAACATTTCCTGCTTGGGGAAGTTCCAAGAAGCGAGCTGAGACAGCTTTGCCCAAGAACAGCAAGGATCCTGCTCTTCAGCTAGGGGAGAGAACCTGCATAAACTACTATTCCGTTAGCTCGCAACGCATTTATGGAACAGCTCTACCTCACGCCTTAACTAGAGATTTTTTTTTTTTAAAGACTACTGCTTTTTTTTCATCAATTTCTTAAAGGAGTTCAGAAGGAAAAAAACCAAGTACTAAACTGGACTTCCTACACCACTCACCAAATCCAACGTTTACAGGCAAAGGATGAGATTACTAAGCTTATGTCCAGCCCTACATCACTTCAAAGGCCAGAAGTGCACATACACACATTTCTCAGGCCCACTGGACAAACCTGATGGGAGTATGCCACACCTTTATTGACCTGTGTAAATTAAACAGTAATTTCTGTAAGGACTAAGTTACAGTATCCTTAACACATACAAGTCAATTATTGTGGGGTTTGCTGGCTTGTTCTGCACAAGTGAAAACAAGTAAATAAGTACTGACACTTGTTGCAGTTTCTACCCAAAGTACTGGTACAAACATAAGTACTTTTAGGTGGAAAGTCAGTTTACGTAACATAGTGCCTGGTTTAGGGACAGACATCAGACTGGATGTTTGCAATTCCCTAGAGGCTTTACATTTTTTTCACAGCTGTCTGATGCTTCAACTTGAGAAATCTGAGTTTGGAGTTAGAAGGTCTGTTTGGTTGTTTGTGGTTTCTTTTGTTAAGTCACAACATGAAAAAGAAGACAGAGACATTCTCTCAAAGAAACCCTGAAATAACTTTTAAGTGAAGGTAAGTAACTACTTACTTTATTTTCAGATAAGCTGGCAGAATGCTACCACTGCTCACAAAGAAGCGTTCCTGCCACAAGAACTCCACTGAGAAGCACAACTTTTGTTACGTCTTCATTTTTTTAAGACTAAGATCAAAATATCTGCGGTGTTAATGAACCATGACATTGTTACTTACATGATTTTTTCCACCCAAAATGTCTTTTGTTCTCAAGAGATCTAAGTATTATTAAGGACTGCTTAATGAAATCTCCCGGTAGAAATATCAAGTAGCAAATGGCAGATGTGCATCTCTACCAACAGTATGTAAAATCAGAAGACAAAAGGTAAAAAAGGGGTAACCCAGGCCTTCAAGCTAAGACCCTCATGGATAACAGCAAGACCTTTTTTTGCCACTCACCCTGAGAAACAGCAGTCAGTTGTTAACTTGGGATACTACAGAAAAAAAAGTCCAACTTTAATCAACAAGCAACCCCTGAAGTCATTGGCTGCTACTTAAGCACGTTCCGTGGAATTGTCTTTTGGCATGTGGAGCGTGCACAGAGTTAGTTCAGTAAGCTAAAAAAAATGCTCTTCCAGGGCTTTATCTTGAAAATTTGTTTTCCTCATCCTACTGAACAAAGATCTTTGACGTTTCAGACAGACTTGGAAATCTGAGAAGATCTGACGATCAAATTAGAAAAAGCTATGGCAATGGGATTGAAAAAAATTTAAAAAAATAAAAGCTACTCGAGAGCGTAACACCATTACTAAACTGCATGTAGCACGGAAACAGAAAATTTCAAGGCAGTTCTGAGGAGGAAACCAAATGCACGAACATCTTAAAAAAATAAATCTCACAGCCAACTTTTCACAGTTTGGTTTCCTGAATTCTTCCACTAGGGGGAAAAAAAAAAAACCCAAAACACAAACCAAAACAGGAAATCAGCAGAAAGATTCTCTGTGACAACTAACCACAGTTAGTTTTAAGAAGTATGTTTCCTCCAGATGCATTTCTCTACATTAACAATGTTCCTTCTGTCGACTTTCAGTCGCTTGTGAGTCTCCATATAGATGTGGAGATAAATTCCAGACAGACTAATAAATAAGCACCTAAATCATAAGTTTTCTAGGACTTTTCCCTTACATTCTTGCTTTGCAGAATCAATTTTTAATTGCTTCACAATCAAAATTGTTCCCAAAATACATGTCGGTGGTTAGAAAAACCCCAAATAATTAAAAAAAAAAAAAAATTCCACCCAAATAACAAAGTCATCCTGGACAGATTCTACAGTTTTTACAGGACAGATTGGTCTTCACAACCGATAGAGCAGGTATCACTCTGGATGGCGTGCCCAAGAATAAAATGGAGATTTCAAAAGCAAGACAAGGACAATTCCAATATAAATAGATATAGATGAAGCTTCCATGTGTATTGTTTCATGCTGGAATTTAGAATCTAGCCAAGAGACCTCTTTTGAGGGGAACAGATGACATTCTGATTATTTTACAA